CCACTCACTCGTTCCTCTTGTCCCACCGACCTCAACCACCTAGTCTGTATCTCCCCACATGGCTTAAACCAACAGTCAGAGACTTCATACATTGGTGCCATGTATTAGTCTGGCCACCTCAGGCCTTTTTCCAGCCTCGACCTACTTCGACCAACATTGTGTGACGATGCAATCGGTGACTAGGCATACGTAGTAGGTGTCCCAACCATCTCAGTCGATGAAGGTTCACAACCTCGTCAGCTGATTTACCTCTACTCCTTAAAACTCTACACCTGACGTCTGCGTTACTCACGCGGTGACACCACAGAATACGGCCTATACTACAAAGGCAACGGTGGTCGAAAACCTGAAGCCTTCTCATGTCTTTCACCTTCAATGGCCATGTTTCACAGCCATACTGCAGAACAGAGGGGACTTCTGTGCATTTGTTAGCTGTGGTACTGCTGAAGACCAATCCTGGAGCAACAATTTGCATTTGGGTGGTGAGAAACGCATCCCAAACATTCTCAAATTGCCACTCGAAGTGTTCAGAAGACTCTGCATCTTGTCAGCGTCTTCACTTAACAGGACTATTTCATCTGCGTATTCTAGGTCTAACAAAAATTCTCCTGTGATCAGGTCAACGTCGGTGTGACCTGGTGACAAGAGGGAAACCTCTATGAGAATATTTATCATAAGATTGAATAAGAATGGAGACAGTGGACATCCTTGACAGACACCACTCGATGAGTATATCTCCCTGGACATCTCACCATAGGCTAAGACGTCCACAAGTGTTCGAGAAGAAAGCCTTCACTAAGGTGATGTACTTACACGGTACACCTTTCACTGAGACATTGCCATAAGACTTCTCGATCAACGGAGTCAAATGCCGCCTTCAGGTCGATAAATAGAGCTAGTGTCGGGCGTCTATAAGAATGCCTATGTTCCAGGACCTGGTGCAGTGTGAATATTTGGTCGATACACCCACAGCCGGGTCTAAAGCCTGCCTGGTTTTCTCGGGCTTGTTGTTCACGAGCTCCACTCAGGCGTCGGAGAATTATAGAACTTAGGATCTTAGACACTATGTTCGTCAGGCTGATTCCTCTGTGGTTATCACAAGAGGACTTCTCGCCTTTCTTGAAGACTGAGATAATGAGTGACTTAGACCAGTCGGAGTGGATTGTATTTGATTCCCATATACTAGCTAACACTTCCGTTAACCTGACTAAGAGCACTTAACCACCATCCTTGTGTACCTTTGGCGTTAGTTCGTCTGGTGCTGCTGCTCTTCCTCGTTTCAGGTTACCTACCGCTTTCTCAACTTCTTCTAGTGTTGGGGGACCTATCTCTATGTCTCATTCAGGATCCGACTGGATAGCGGGCAACGCAATCGTGGCTGGAGGCCAGTTAAACTGTTCCTCAAGGTGTTCTGGCCATTGTTCCAGTCGTCTCCCCTACGAGTGAATCGCCGATCCGTCCTTCTTCGCTATAGCCTCACCAACTGTTGTTAACCTTTTCCCCCCAGTTTCCTTAATAAGTCTAAATAGCTGTCTACTTTTACCGATCGCCACTGTCTTTTCCATATCCTTAGCCTTCTTTGTCCACCACTGTTCGCGGTCGTTGCGTAGACTTTTTGTCAATCTACCTTTAAGTTGCGCTCGCTCTTCATTGTACGCAGAGCCTGCAGGCATGCGTTCACGTGCATCCATCAGTTCGGAAGAAGCTGCTGATATCCACTGGCTCTTTTTAGCCACTATTTTGGAGTCGGCTACAGTCTTCAACACTGCTTTTACAGCAGACTGAAGATGGCACCGAGGTTCTTCTGGATGAGTGACAGCATTTTGTTCCGATAACTGCCTAGCCAACTTCTCACTCAACACAGCTTTGGTGTTTCCGTTGTCCAGCAGCACTCGTAGTGGTTTTGTTGCCAAATTTTTTCTACGTCCATTGAGACGCAGGCATATACGTGCTCGGACCAACGCATGATCGCTGTCCAAACACGTACTTCAGAAGGAGCGGCAGTCTTCCACCGATCCTCTCCAGCGATGACTAATAGCAATGTGGTCCATCTGTGTCCATCGCTGAGTTGAGCTTGGTGGACGCCATGTCAGACAGTCTCTTTCTTTATGTCTGAAATTGTTGCTGGCTAAAAATAGGCGGTTATCTGAGCATAGTTGTAATAGGCGATCACCGTTATCTGTACGTTCATCTGGGATTCCGAAAGTGCCACCTAAGTGCCTTTCTGCCTCACTCAGTCTACCCACCTGTGCGTTGAGGTCACCTGCAACAACCACCACGTCCGAACGTTTGGCTTTCGAGAGGAGGTTAGACAATTTACGGTAGAACTCGTCCTTCACTTCATCCGAACTGCAGTCAGTGGGTGCGTAAGCAGAGATTACAAAGAGACAACGGTGAGTCTCCCTATTCCTTTTAGTTCTCACTGTGCCGTTCAGTCGGATATAGCGGAGGCGACTATCAACTGGGATCCAGTCTAGTAGTGAGTTTTCTGCCCTAGTGCTTAGTGCTATGCCTACACCTGCAAGGGCGCGAGAGCTAGCTATCGAATCTCCAGAAACTCGGAGGGTGAATCTTGCGGATTCACCAGATTGGTTGGGAGAGGTCAGGCGAATAACTGCACTTGAGTCCTGTATGTGTGTCTCACAAACACAGCACACATCCATGCCCTGAGTTGCTAGAGTCATAGCCAACGAAGCCTGTTGACCAATTTGATGGAGGGTGCGGACGTTGAAAGATTCAATATGTAATTTGGAGCATGGTTTTAGGAGACGAAGGATGCTGTTTTGTGAACTCAGATCGTTGTCGATGGCTACAGAGCTAGGAGAAGTTGAAGATGATGTAGTATTGTTAGTTGAGAGACGTGAAGGAAGATTAGAAGGTAATTATGGGAGAGGTGGATAGCAGTCTGAGGAAACTTGCGTGCTGACCGAGTCATGAGGGCGGTTGACACTTGCCGGCTGCCCACATCGTGGAAGGCTATTTCTTCTTAAGGTATCTGAAAGAGATTTGTGTGACCACAGAGCCCAATGGACGTCTGCCTGAGGCCTGTCACACGTAGCCTTTGGAGTATGATTATTTTGAACTTTTGTATTTTTGGTGCCGGAAATGCACCAACACCGCCGACCCGGCAGACCGTGGGGTATGGTGGAGTGTGTTATTTTGGGGGCCGACCTTTTCTAACCCCCCTCCTTCCACTTAGTAGGCAGCATCAGCATGGCACTGCTGGTCATCCAAGGAAAACACCTTACTGCTGTCACACCCCATCCAGCTAGCAGCAGTACGACTTCGCTCGCAGACCCCCATCATAGTGTAGTAGTTTACACCACAACGATGACTGCCTTTCGTCTAACCACTACCCAACAGACCTTTCTGGTATGGTAGGACCTCGAGGGAACAAGTGTTCCACCAGCACAGCTCGTTGGGTCATTGTGATATGCAAGCCCTACCACCACATCAAGGTAGCAGCTATCGGTTGGGAAGAGTTCAGTGTCTTCATCAATGAACCACACTTCGTAACCTTAAACACAGGTCAGAGAGAATGTGTATCGACAAGCGATATAATGGACAGAATAAGATACTGAACTATTGATATTGTGCCTTGCTAGGGACATAGAAGAGTGTAAGGGCTAGACGCACTTGCACACATAATTTACAGCCATGTCACGTAGATCCCCAGTTAATGAAATTTATATTCTCTCGGAGCTCTGTCTAGCGATTTATGCTTTTATACGAGTAAACTTTTGTAGCTCATAGATATTTATTCTTCATTTTGTAATGAATATTGAATATACCCCTTGTTCTACGCTTTTCGATCGTTCGTCTAAATTCGTTTCTCATTTCTTAGCTACTGTTGGTATATTTTATTTTTTACCCGGTTTTCCTCACAATGCGTGATATAATAAGGCAACTGTTGTCAATTTAGGGTTATGCCAGGTCCATTGTTTTTATCATCACCTGGTCTATGCATAGGCCTTGTTAGAATTGCATATCCTATTGATTTTGTCGGTTCAATCAGTCTGGTATTTACGCGTTGATTGCCATACTTTTCCTGAAGTTTCGATGCAAAACGATTGGTTGTTAAAGGTTTCAAGCATTTAGAGTTCTGTAAGAGGATCTGAGAAATATTTTCGCACACTTAATGCTTGTAAACTGGGATTCAATCATGTTTGGAAGTTTTGTAGCTGACGCATCATTGTAGAACCTAGAAAAAAAAATGCATTAGTTGAATTCATTGACTGCTGCATATGGAAGTAGAAGTTCATTTAATCCTTTCTGAGCTGTGATATATAGTCATAGACCCCTCATCATGTCGGGAAGAAAGGAGAAAAAGCCTTCAACCTTTCTATAGGATACAGTGAACTGTTTAGTCTGATATATTAGACTTGTGGCTCATTGTTTTAGTCAGTCAATTTCCAGTCAGTGTTTCCCGTCTTCAAATTTCACTCCGCTGATCGAGATCTAGCAGCCTATATGCATCATTCCGGCCCACACCATAGATTTTACTGGTAGTCTAGTGCTACAAATTGTACATAGTTGCTATATAACTGAAATGGGGATTTTTAAATGTGCAGTATATGCTTTAGAATATTCTTTTGATGTTATTGCTTTTGAATTTCCGTCATTGATTGAACCGAAATGAATATTGTTCCGGAAACGTTCAGGTAGCCGATTTTCAGTACCAATATTACTGAAGAATACAACCACTTATACGACCCATTAAGTTGTGAAGAAAAACAAAGAAAGTTTCCTTCGGTGAATTGTCTCTTCCTCTCTTTACAGACATCTGTATCAATATGTCAGAAATTTCTCTGTAGTTGAAGGATGGTTTTCACCAGTTATTGCTAACTTGGGCGTCCTTAGAATTTCCTTTTTCCTTCTCATTTTCCTTAAAATAATCATGCTGTTTTAATCACATATGTGAAACATTACCAATTTTCAAACTAAACTAGATTAACTCGCAGTTTAACTGTTTCATTTTTCAAACGTATACTGTCGTTAAGGTTCAGTTTTCGCCAAAGCTAAACCTAGGCATGGATGGATGGCAGCTGTACGTTTGGGTTTGTTACGTGTGGCATTCGCTCCATTCTACTGGAATTATTGGCGTGGTCATACATCATTCTGTGTCGCTGTCTATATCATGGTTCATTTTTTCCTACAGTTTCTGCAAGTTGTATTTTTTCTCCTGACGGATCCTCGAACTAGTAACGTAAGTTTTTTCCCTATAATTTATTGGTTTGACCATTGAGATGCATTACTGAAGAATTACGATTGGTCCAACCAAATGAAATACTTGAAACCAAAGTATTTGTACCCATTCGTACAGGTTGAATTCCATTTTTAAAGTCTTCCCATCGGTTTTTATTATGCGCAATGTTAGTTAAATCAATCCAGTCTGCCATCGATTTTAGATAAATCTGTTACCCATTAGTGTCGCTACTCATGTTATTTATGCCTACCTATTTGTTTGCTTAGATGCGTGTGTTTGTATGTTAAAATATGATTAATTTCATTTGAGGTTTGTGATCAGTTTATGGTCTTACGGTTTAACTGTGATGTAAAAGATTCATGATTGGCACATATAACTTTTGCAACTTCTCATCATACGTATAAAGTTAAGTAGTAGTTTGAAAATATCGTGGAGAATGCCAACACGAACCATAGGTTTATGCTAATTAGTAATAAAACACATCAAACTATAAACTGAAGGACAAAAACAGCATCTTGTAGGAGATCGGTCTTAGTTTAAAAGAAATGTGCAAACATTAAATAATAGTAATAGTAATAGTTCAGAAGTCTTTGTTTGTCAAGGATAAGACTAAAAAAGAGGAATATTATGTACCGGAAAAAAGGGAGATTAGGATTCATTAAACGAATATGTAACAAATTTCGTCGAGATAGATTGCAGAGATAATTACTGAACAAGAGTCACATGTGGACCTAAGATGTGTTAGATAAGGAGTTTGGATTCTTTCGAAAAACTCTTTTCCGTGATGGATACTTAGCCTTATTGATAATTGTGTAAACAACAAGCTTGATCGTCCCACATGACTCAGTAGTACCTAAGAAATACTTAGGTATCAATTTGAAATTCAAAAGTGATACAGTGGACTAAGTCCTACATGCTTGGCTACCAAAAGCAGTTAGGAAAACAATCTTAGCTGTATCTCTGCATCTTGCTTTCTTCAAAAACGTCTTCATCTGTCAAAGCGTCAAAGATGAGGCGGTGCTTCTTAAAAAATCCATTTTTATGCACAAATTTATTTGCTGTTGTGTGACTGAGCCAAATACTGTTAAGACGGGCTTGCAAAAATTTAATAGCATGCCCGTTAAAAAGGGAATCCAGATCAACCAACAGTTTTATACTAGAGCGTGTTATCGTGTCAGATCAAGCTGTATCTATACGAAGTTCATTTGATATGATAAAGACAAGTAACACTAATGGATTTCGATCACATCTTCTCTGTACAGCAGAAGTTATTAGCATTCATGAAGAGAATCCTAAACTTTGTCCACAAAAGTTTGGTTCATTCCTTTTTAAAACCATTACCTAAGTGTTGTGCTTGTACTCATCACTAGAGCACATCTGCAATGCTGAGGAAACCGATTTAACATCGTGAATTTGAATCTGCATCAAAAACGTTAGCACTGAGCTATTCAAATCAGGAAGTGATCATTGGGTGGTAACCTGTCACTGTTCTAAGAGTTAAGTAGTGATTGAAACCTGTCGATCATGTTTGCGACGAAACTACTTATCTAAGTAACATGACGCTTTGGTACACTATTTCGGTATTATAGTAACGCTGACACACCAATGTTTATTTACTGAGATTTTGATATTTATCTGTTGGCATATTGTTTCATTTTCTCACCATGAATTGCGGTGTTTATAATGATATTTCTACTTTTTCGCTAGTTCATGATACTTTTGTATCAAAGACCATACCTTGAAATCTCTGCTAAATGGTTTCCAGTGAAAACCTTGCTGATACCACCATTAGGTAGTTGGAAAACTACTCAGCTATGAGAAATGTCCACATGGACAGTGGAATTTGTACATCATTTTCAAGTTGATGGTTTTATTTTTGGTATACCGGTCCATGCAAGCCAGCTAACCATATTCAGGTGGTCTGAAGTAATTTGGCTGTATGGACTGAATTTGTCTGGGTACGCCGCTGATGAGTCCTACCTCGAACGAGCGAAATGGCCTTCCGGTGCTTAGCTCACTTACCCGATTGGTGAAATACTGCAGATCAGCCTGAATGGTTTCTAACTACTCAAGTTGTTTAGTGGTAGTATCTCACGTATAGGTCATTTAAGTGAACTAAGAATTTTTTTTTTCGATAAATTCTTCTCCAAGTCTCGTTGTTTGATACGAAGTATGAAACAATCATCCAGTTAGCACTTACATTTTTGGAATTTTTCAAATCACTCGGAAAAAATGAACAAAAAGCCACTGGACCTTTAGATAAGGTCCATATGTTTTCCTACTAACATCATCCAGTAAATAATACTTTGTCATTGTATGGCATATCAAATAATACTAATCTAATGTGAAATTGTACTCTCTCATGGTGTCCAAGTCTTACTATCATCCATAGTATGGGAAACGGTGAAGTGCCAACCGTCCATTTTTTCAACAGTTATGTTCGCTGGTTAATGATAGAGAAACTTGTCTAACAACTGACACTAGTTTGTTGTATCCTGCAAATAGTGTTAAGCTTGATATTATGTGTATATATTTTGATGTCTTTCAGGATTCCCTGGAAACGTCAATATTTCATACATTGCTCTTCAATGTTTTACTTGGTGTTCTTAGTGATTGTCCTTTATTTTTATTTCAGAGTTCACAGGATGATGTTCTTCTCCCTTGCTTGTTAGCTATATGTTTGGGCATTCTTCATGCGCATATTACTGCCCCGCATGGAAAAGCTGGTTCATACTCATCCTTTATTGACAGTCCAATGACTGCTCAGTCTTTCAAGGATATTGGTGATAGTCAGGTCTATAACTTAAATCCAAGCTCTTATCACCACTATTCAGACAACCTGGTGAATAATAAACTTGGGAGTTTACAAAATAATATTAGAAGGCTTGATGAATGTGACCATTCGTCGCAGCTTTCCGCGCATTTAGTAAATTCAGAACATCGACAATGTCTAAACAATGCGTGAGTTCCAGCACTCAACGTGCTTACTGCTGTATTTGTTTTTACTGTTGAGACTGTTAATTTTAATCATTGTGTACAAGTGCGGTAGTGAAAAGCCAGAATGACACTTTCTGAGAATGCTTGCTTAACATTTGGTGTAAGACAATTTCAGGTGTATCATTGTCTTAATTTCGTTTAAACATACAGAAGAACAATATAAAAGATAAATGACTGATATGTGTATTGGAAATTTATCAAAACGTTTAACGAAGATAGTTTCAGAAGAGTAAGGCAAGGCATGCAAAACGAATGAGAAAGCATAGTAAATTGGAGCTCATCAGTGTTACTAAGCCTAGGTGAGAGGAAACCCTAAGAATTCGCTTAAAGGGTAAATTGTATTGTAGTAGAATGAATCGATCATTCTTAACACCAATGTCAAAACGGGACTATCAAGGACGGTATGGCAGTTGATACTTTTACTTGTCGACAAGTGAATTGAGGTAACCATGCTCGTTCAAAATAGAAATGGTTGCGAGTAGGATTATTTTTGTTTCGTAAGCATCATTTGTGATAACGGTTTAGATTAAAAGTATCAAAGCTTTTCCGAGTTGCTTGTAGTTGATATTACGTTCCACAATAAAGATTATTGAAACATTTGGCTGAAGGATTATGCATAATGTCTGTGCAGCTTATTAGTGAAGTGTTGAATATACATTCGAACACTAAATTATGGGTTGACTTCAATTGTCTGTGATGTTTAAGCATATCTTTTTAGAAAAGCTGAGGAAACAAATTTTCCGTAATCTGAATGTGTTAGTTAAACATCCGTTGATGTATATGTTAACAGATGCTGTGGAGCACAAATACTATACCATGCTTCATCATAGTTTCGTCTTGTGAATGCTTCCTGTTCATGATCACCTAGAACCTGCAGCACACATTTTTTTGTAGTATACGCTATAATTTAGGTTAGAAAAACTTATTGCTAGGCTTTGAGCCTGATCAGCATACACAATTGTGAGTTTTATTATTCCTAGATCTAATTTCACTTTCAGAATAGCAGCCAAACGAATTTGGATGTTTAAAAGATTCTTGCGATTTGTATGCCGAATAAAAATGTAGTCAACATAAATGGTTGACAGAAAACCACTATATATGTGAGCAGTAGATTCTGCAGGTCTATAGACATAATAGATCCTTCAAAACATTTGAGAGCCGTAATGCGACAATCCATAATCAAGCGATTGATTTCTCTATCAAAGATAGGATATTCAGCGCTCATCGATTATGTTAAGAACTGAAGACTCTTTACTCGATTATTTGTGATCTTTTTATAGCCTAATATATGCCTACCTGGGTTGTTCTTCATGAATTTCCTCTCTCTCCATTTTCATCTAATTTGTACTTTGACACGCATTTCTAGGGAGTATATTTTCATTCCCTGACTTGACAGATTTACTACTGTTCCTGAATATCCATTAATCAATATATCTGAAATGCAGAATGACTCCTCTAATCTCTCTCATACTGATATTATTTTAGAAAACAGGAAAATCGAATTTCGAGTGCGTTATGTGAAAATTCACATCAATTTCAATTTTTTGTGGTGTATGAAATTCATGCAAAAATGCGGAATGATTTATCGGTTTCTGTCAACTTCTATCACCAAGAGAACATCTGATTGTGTAGGTCGAATATATAGCACAGTGGTTGCTCTGTCATCCTACGCACCTTTACAATGTAGTCATGGTCCTGTTACGTTATGTATTTCTCATATCCCCCTACCTTTTGGTATTTCCATTGAAATCATTATTTCAATTTCTCTGACTTCTCACTTGTTAACTTCTCCCTGGATTTGTTTGTGTCAAGTCTGGTGGATCGTAAAAATAAGTAATTATACCGAACATGGTTTTTGTTACCTTATTTAAAACTAGTTTTTAGTGGTAATGGTAAGCATCAATTCGAAGATGATGGTACGTAATAGATGAACTTTGTTAAACTACTTTTTATTTTCCACGTAAATATATGTTATTTGAACACGAGCAAATTATTGTTTGGTCTTCCGTAAAAGTTATAAAGCTACGGACTAGTAATCCATATCTAGGTAGGGGTGCAGAAGCCAGTAACTGGTATTCGAAGACTACCATAAGATATCCTTGTTTATTATATTCATTGAGGCATCTCTTGTTTATAGGAAGTTTTCATGAATCACGTTGAGTTGAACTTATTATTACAATTATAAATCTTAAAAAGTACGAGTTCTGTACGTTTTAACCCGTAAGTATTACCAATATATTATGTGTGGCTATCATATTCATGAATTTCGTATGGTAGTAAATTTTAACCAATGTGCTTATATACATATAATGGCTTTAGCTGTTCACTAACTCATCAATCGAACAGTCAACCATTCTCCAACAAAGAATATGTAGATAATACGGAACATCCGGATTATCTGGCTAACAGCTGTTCTGAATTTCACAACTCTACAAACGTAATCTGCAGAAACTATGGGAAACTGCAAAGAAATATACAGTGGAGGTCAGGTGATACTGAATCAAAGAAACCCTTGGCGTCATCCCATAAATGCTATGAAGTTTGTCCGAACAGTAGTTATCATGATGAATTTTCTACTGTCTATAGTCCAGGAGATAATAAGAAACATGAACTAAATGACTCTGATGTTACCTATGAAATGAATGGTCCTCAGTCTCCATACGCTTTCGAGGAAGATCGTGGGCAAACTAAACACTTTCATAGTTCACAGTTATTGGAGCACCGACCACGAGTTATTCGTAGACGTAGACGTCAAAATAGCTATAGTTCAAAGCATGGTAATTTAAGTCGTGGACACGATGCGGATGTGGAGGAGAGCGAGGGTGAAGTCGAAACTGTTTCAAACAAAAATAATGTTGACTCAGCTACTTTTGATGGCCAAAGTTTTTCACTTCAGACTGTGAATGATGTTCTTCCTGAGTTTATTTCCCGGTCAAATTCCAAGGGAAGTGTCAATCAAGCAGTTAGTTTGGATTGTCAGCTAACCTTACCCAATACAGAGTTAAATCTAAAGTCCAGAAGTTTACCAAAAGAGGAAGAATCAGTATTTCTCTCCAAATCCTCAAATGCACTTGCAGATGTCAAATTACCAGAAAATCTGAGTGAAGGTTCTTCAATCGTGAGTATTAGTTCCTACATAAAATTTATTACTCAGTCTAGCATACAATGAATTAGTTGTCATTAAACATTAAATTATTACTCATAAACTGTGTAAAGTATTGTAGCCAGTTACTATCTTTTAATGTGTTTTGTTTTATAGTAAACATGTATATCAATATATTTCTGTTACTTGCGGTAATTGTTTTCAGTGTTTTGACTATGATGAGGTATATAAAGAGCCAGTAGCGAACACTAGTGTTTCTGACCGTTATTTTCCCTACTGATATTTCCCCTAAAAGCGGTGCCTAAGGCTATCATATCTATCTTAGTTAAAACACAAGTGTCTTGATTCTCGAACACTAGAAACGTCATGCAACTTACGGAGAATCTAGTACTGAAATATTGCATTTGCAATCCTGCCCACTGCAGCCTATAATTTCAACAAGCTACCAGCTATAACGTATCATATTCGGACCTCAGCGAAATCAGAGTAGTCAAACAACCTGATGTACACATTATTTCAACATTTCCAAGGCGTTGTACCTGCAAACTGGATCTCTGTTCTTCGTAAAATCGGTTTGCATTATCTTTTCCTTATCTGAAATGTATGAAAATGTAATGAATAGTTTCTTCAGAACAATCATATGTATTTCATACACTTGCATAACGTTATGTTCACATCATTTGTAAGCAACTTTAATAAATAAGTAAATAACCACTGTCTATATGCCGTATTATGGAGCATCTTAAGTTACCAACGTTTTGAAGATCACAAAATACGTTACGATTCGGAATATAAATGAGTTAACCCAACAGGATTCAGTAAAATTAGATGTATGCTATGTAAGGCAAATTGAGGAATGCACACTAATGAGCGAGATAAGATTCGAAACGAGTAAAAGTGGTTATGCAGTCAAATGAACAAAGTTATCTTAGCAAAAGAAAAAGCAGATAATTTTTTGCAGTGATAAAAAATACAGTAATAATGAATAAATCTTCGGAAAGAATGCAGATGGGGAATAGTATACATTAAGGGCGTTTGGAAGAGGTGTGTCAGAAGTTACTGACTACTAAGATTATAACAAATTAGCAACTGTTTCATTTTGCGCAACCAATTCCGGTTGAACTCATCGAATGGTGACGACTTTGGCAGGTTAAAGAATGCATGAAGTCTAGCTACTATGATGTCCTGATGTCCTGTGTCAATTAAGTAGCGAACTGTTGCACTGCTCATTGAGGGTGAAACTCTCAAGCCCAGACTTTTGATAATTTTCTTCGCAATCCTAGTGGACAGCCCTTTTTCCTGTCATTCCTACGCAATTACTACCCCATGTATATGTGAATTGATAAATTCAGTTGAAGTTGAGTCAAAAATTTGTCTTATTTGGATTGTGTGATTGCGATTGCTGTTCGACATAGTATAACAAGTATTGCAACATTTAGGTCCTGGATAGTGCAGTTTATAGGTCTGTTTATTCTCATCATATCTCCTATGAAGTTCAAAGTAAGAAACATTGTTTTCTTTTCAACAGTGTTACGCTCCTTTTTCTTCCCCTTACTTTTACAGTGTAGTGTTTGTCCACGAACCTTTTAGGATAAGCGTTACTGCATAGACATTATTCGACTAGATGAAGCCTTTTTCGCAACTTTCTTGGGATTACAATCTCTGTCCTTTGATTTAACGTTCTTTCTAAACTTCTCTCGCAACTGTTGAGTTGAAACTGAACATCTGTATTGTAAATAAGCAGACAGTGGGAGGAAACTTCTGTGTATGGATAAATGGTGTTAATGCTTTCAGGATGCGTACTAACGAAGAAAAAGGTTATGTCATGTTATGCCATAATTTTGTCAGACAGATTGAAGTGTTTTATTCTTTTAACGAAGTTGGAAAAATCTTTTTATGCATGTCAAGAATTTTACGCAAAACTTCTGTGCTGACCATCGGGAAATAGATCTCATCAATTCATCTGCTTCATTAATTTTTGATTGTTCATGTCTGAGATCACCCTAGCCTCATAGCACTATAAGTTCCGTTGCCAATTAGCCTTCTTTTTAGTATTTTCTCGAGTTCTTCAGTATTTCTATTTTCGATCGTTTCATATATTTATTGTGACCCTTCTTTCTGAATCGTGAAAGATTGCCGAGCATTAAGTTCATCTTATTTACTCGTGAGTGTGGTTGAATTCTCTAAGCTAGATTAAACCAGAAAACGCGATAATACCCAGATCATCCACCTGAGCTACAAATATTCTGTATGGTTTTACTCTTCCTTGTTCACTAAGATCATCTGGGAGCCCTCGTTAGGTGGAAGAATCATTATTCGTTTATAGTTTTCAAATATTTTCCAAGACCAAAAAATGTTCTTAGGTCAATATTTTGAACTGAGGTTATGAAAATATCTGGTAGTGGTTGACAGTATTGGCAAGTTTAGGTTTGAACCACCCACTCTTCGTCATCAGGCTAGTTGACTGTAGAAATTCTCAAACTCAGTTTAAGTATCTGTTCTGCTAAAGAGCTTATTTCGGGTTTTCTGGAAAATCACCACATATTCGTTCTTTGACTGAAGATTTCGAAAACGATCCAGAAAGCCTTTGACCTTATTTTAGCTGGAAATCTTGGGTTAAATTGATGGACTTCACTCGACAGACAATGCTTAGGTAATGCACATATTTTTCAAAATAGTTTTAATCGCAAATTGGTTACCGACGTTAGTGAACACGTCTCAACCCATGACGTACCTTTCTGCACTAGGCTATAGACCGCACTTTGTGCAAGGGCTTTGATACCACCTGGTTACTGTTACTGAGGTAGGTGGGGTCGGAATAAGAACCGAAGACCCATTTCGGATGCTTTAGCCAGTGGGAAACAACTCCAGTCTTGGTTGATTCATTATGGTATTGGGCTATACGTCAAAGGTTTTGTGTTACAGTAGTGATTTCCGTGAACGTAATGATCTGAAGAACTGTGGTGAAGAACAGACTCGAGGTAATTTTCGTAAAAAGTACCCACTTTTCTCCCCATTCTGCATCCAGTCGTCATGAGTTTGTTTTGCGACTGGGTAGGGAGTCGTTGCTTCACCCTGCCTTACATAGCATGTATGTAATCTGACTGAATCATTTATATTCTGAATCGTAACGTATTTTATGATCTTCAAAATATTGGTACCTAAAGACGCTTCATAAACGTCATATCAACATTTGGTACAGTGGTTATTTACTTATTTATTGCTTATTGCTTACAAATGATGAAAATTCTATTAAATGGGATGATGTCATCTTATTCTGCAAATGATTTTATCGTTGCGTTTTTCAAATATATTTTACATTGATTTTCGTCGTACCAATGCTAATCGCAATGCGTCATTGAAGTCCTGTCATGTTAAAGATTAAACTGCATGAAGTAAATTTAAATTTACTGAAACTTATTAAACGCTTTACCAAGGAGTAAGTTGCCCTGAAAACCATTATATTTACCGTTTGCATCTATCTAGTGTGAAATAGTCTACTGACGTACAACACAGCTCAGAAATGACTCTTTTGCAGTAGGTAACTAGGTCGGCTGTGTATCGTAATCAATTGTCCATCTACTTTAAGATTGTAGTTTTTTAATCTGGTGAATTTTGAACTGTTTTTTTAGTTGACTGAACACAGCATTACGAACATAGTAACTTCTTCCACACCCAAGTTTATTTTGATTGAGGTGTTGTACTCTAAATTGGCATAGACCTTACAAAAGTCAAGATCACTAGGATTCTGATATTGTTACTTTTCTATGGTAATGGTAATTATTTCCTAGATTCAGTGAAATTGTTTGTAACTCCTACTCTCATTTCATTTGTTTTAGTGCAACCAAATATCAGATGATCCTGTTTTTTAAAAATTATTTCTCTCTTCATTTTAGAATTCAGAAGCTTGTGAACTAACACATTCGAAAACAAAAGTTACTTATAATTCGTTTATTCCATTAAAAGGTGACCGATTCACTGAATCCTCAGATACGCAACCTCATTTATCACATCCTTCCTCTCTAAGCAGTTCGATCGATCCTCTTACTGAGTCCAGTTACTTTTCCTGCAAACGTTCTGCGTCAATGAGTTTTCTAGTACAACGAAAACAGAATGAAAATTTTATATATTTATTAAATAATGATGAAGTATTAAGAAAGGCATTTTCTGACGCAGTTATAAATCACCCAATTTTCTTTGATTCTTCAAATTATCAATCACTTAGTTATGACAATAAAAAAGACTTACGGAAGTCGTTTTTTCAGCAGAAACAAAGTTTCAAACGCAAGTATGATACTGAAAATGAAGCTAGGGCAGCTTACAATTTACTCCCAGTCAATCAACAGGATCATTTCAGTACTGAAAATGTGTCATATCGTAAAATATCGTTATCCTCACACTCTTCAGCAGCTACTGAGTCGTCAACTAATTCTGGTCGATCTTTTAGTTGCCTCAGGAAGTATCCTAAACGGAGTGGTCGCCACTTTGGTAAGTATTTTCGGTTATTTCTTTTTGATGCTGGTTTTGAACTTCATGCCATTAGATGACATGGTGCAACCTAATTTCCAATTCGAAACTTCAAACTAGTGTGTACGAATCGTGATGTATGGTGATTAGTAAACAATCCTGACAAGCTTATATTCGTCTTTGTTTCGTCTCTGAGGTACGCTAGTAACAACTGATGGGGCTGGTTACCAAAGCGCACCAACAATCAGGAAAACTAGGTCCAAAACTGCGCAAGCTGATTTTATCGTACCCAGTGTTTCCAGCTGAGTAGACGGTTATTTTCCAAGTTTCAATACAAATGTTTCTAAATGTCTGAGACAGTAAATTTGGTTCGAATGCTTAGGTCCTGATTGCTGGTGAATTATTTTGAGTATGTTCAAATTTTTCACGTTATCGCTTTACAGATATCTGAAACGTACCATTTTCCAAAAACAGTATCTGTCACTTGAAAGGAGAATAAGATTACCAGTATCCAGGTCATCTACTGAATCAACCGTAAGGTTTTGACCCTTCTCCTCTTTTTGGAACACAATGTGGAAACTAATTATGCCTACTCTTGAACTATCGTTGAAGACTTTTCGTAGTTTGAAACAATCTACTTATAAACAGTAGAAATACTTTAGATGTTGGGACTGCCTGACATCATAATACTGTTTCCAGTCTCGAGAAAGGTATTAAGTATGTTCCGTGCACCTTGTTAGATTACACGTCTACATCTGACTATTCATAGACCACTCGCTTTTGAACAGGTTAAACCCCGGGTTACAAAATGACTGTATTCCTATTTTTCTGAGGAGAAGCAGTACATCAGTTTATAGATGAAGACACTCCTCTTCATTGATTATGGTAGCTAGTTTTTTTAAGGTGTTGTCTACTTTTCTGTTTCTTCTTGGTTTGACTTCAATTTGTAAAACTAATTTCGTTGAGTATGTTGGTGGAGTGATAATTTTTGTCCAGGCTGTTTACCGGTTAGATTGTTCTAAAATGAATAATTCCTTATCTAGCATTGACCAGTAGTCGTTCTCAAATTGTTTTAAATCAAATCATTATCAATGTCAAACTACCAATTTTAGTCTCAGGTGTGAAGAAGACTTATTTGAACTGTCTGAATCGCATTCCTTGTCGTATTGATGGTACTTTTTTTTGCAGAAAACAATTTGAGTATCTACTTAATTTGATCTGGTTTTCCATTAGATTTTTTAGTCGTCCCGTATCTTATTGACTTCCAAAAAGCCTTTTGTTCTACATATTGTGTAGGGAAACTGAGACTTTAGAACATGTCATCCCCTACTTTCGCAGTTTATTAACTCATTTATCTTACCTAATCTTCGTAACTGCTTCTTATTATTTCCTGGGCTGCTTAAAAAGGTCTGTTGTAAGTAGTGTGGGAGCTTGTAGGCTGTTCGAAAGTTTTGTGGGGTACTTTTAATTATTAGCATCTTTGTCTGCGCATACTTAAATTCGTTCACGCGTTTAGTTACAGTCATTTCATCGAAGAAGGAGCATTCATTTTTATTCAGAACTCTTTTCTATCATCTCCTTGAGGAGAACAAAAAGCAAGTTCATAAGAACTTATGCTCGTACAGCTGAACACAAAAATTCAGTTATACCTTATTAATTGCACATCTGGTGTGAAAAAGATGTCAAAATGATATTACTCATCACATTTGTGACAGCTTTTTCATTCTTGCTGTCATCCGTTTATTACTGCCTCTAATACTATAATTACTTACATATAGTTACTATAGTGATTTCTATTGATGATGTGCAGTGCATGAATTTGTTGCAATATCATATGCCGAGAATTCCATATTGTCCGGATTAATGTGATTATTTTAGTTATAAATGAAGAAAACAAAGTTTTTAGAATTTTGTTTACCTTTTGGTGTCTAAAACTTAACTGTTGCACAGAGTACTGACTATCCATAGTTTAGATAAAAACCATAGTGAAGAGATCGTTGGCTTGTCTTTTGTCTAACCTATAGTTTGTAGTTCAATTGAGCCTGGTGTCTGTAGTACGGAAGCCATTTATTCGAACTATTCATTTTTCTTTTCTAGAATGTTCATCCAATCACTTTATCGACAGGCAGTCTTAGTGACTTTCGGTTACAATTATCGACCTTTATTTGTTTTGGTCGTCCAGTATTACTTTTATCCTTCCTTTCAGACAAGTTTTTCTCAGATACTCTTAATGACGCAGAGTTTTCGTCACATTTTTTGCTGAAACAGTTCGAGGTCGTAAGTTACTGGTCTGAACCCCTGAGATAAAATAAACTCATTCTTTTCTGGTCTTATCGTTTACACTTGGATGAAATTTTGTTTACAGCGAAAATTATTAAAACATCTTTTGTAGGCATTCTTATTGAACTTATCATTTTCCTAATTATTTCGATGTTTTGTTTTTCAGAATTGGAATCTGTACATGGTATTGGTGCGGAATTGACAGCTAATCCAAAATGGTACTGATAATATTGATTATGCAAAGTTATCACTAAGTGTGATGCGTTACTTATTCTTGTGTTATTTTAATAAATATTTCTGCACTACATAACGTCATATATAACTACATTCGTGTGTCTAGGTTTGTTATAATCATACTGAGAATGCTAGTCATAAGAGAAACAAATGAAAAATTTAGGCGGCATTTTGAAACAGTTGTATATCTCAGAGGTGAAGTAGCAGGCCCAATATCTAGGTCAAAGTAGCAGTTTGCTGCGTCCACCAACTTAAAGATATGCTAAGATCCATGCATGCGAACTGGTTTTGTGAAATGTATACCTATTAGTGAGCCTCTTGAGATCACTTCTTTTGTCAAGATGTGCTCCTTTTTTATTCTCTATAATCTTCACCTTAGAATTATGTTTCAATAATGACTTAGAGTCGCTGAACGATGGACAACAGATTTGTATGGATGCACCCGACCGATAGCTGCTACCTTGATGTGGTGGTAGGGCTTGCATATCACAATGACCCAACGAGCTGTGCTGGTGGAACACTTGTTCCCTCGAGGTCCTACCATACCAGAAAGGTCTGTTGGGTAGTGGTTAGACGAAAAGCAGTCATCGTTGTGGTGTAAACTACTACACTATGATGGGGGTCTGCGAGCGAAGTCGTACTGCTGCTAGCTGGATGGGGTGTGACAGCAGTAAGGTGTTTTCCTTGGATGACCAGCAGTGCCATGCTGATGCTGCCTTCTAAGTGGAAGGAGGGGGGTTAGAAAAGGTCGGCCCCCAAAATAACACACTCCACCATACCCCACGGTCTGCCGGGCCGGCGGTGTTGGTTCATTTCTCGTTTCCTTTCGACCATCCGGCCCCAAAAATACAAAAGTTCAAAATAATCATACTCCAAAGGCTAGGTGTGACAGGCCTCAAGCAGATGTCCGATGGGCTCTGCGGTCACACAAATCTCTTTCAGGTACCTTAAGAAGAAATAGCCTTCCACGGTGTGGGCAGCCGGGAAGTGTCAACCGCCCTCATGACTCTGTCAGCACGCAAGTTTCCTCTGACTGCTATCCACCTCCTCCATCATTACCTTCTAATCTTCCTTCACGTCTCTCAATTAACAATGCTGCATCATCTTCAATTTCTCCTACCTCTGCAGCCTTCGACAACGATCTGAGTTCACAAAACAGCATCCTTGGTCTCCTTAAACCACGCTCCAAATTACATATTGAAGCCTTCAATGTCCGCACCCTCCGTCAAATTGGTCAACAGGCTTCGTTGGCTAAGACTCTAGCAACTCAGGGCATGGATGTGTGCTGTGTTTGTGAGACACACATACAGGACCCAAGTGCAGTTATTCGCCTGACCTCTCCTGACCAATCTGGTGAATCCGCAAAATTCACCCTTCGAGTTTCTGGAGATTCGATAGCTAGCTCTCGTGGTCTTGCAGGTGTAGGTATAGCATTAAGCACCAGGGCAGAAAACTCACTACTAGACTGGATCCCAGTTGATAGTCGCCTCTGCGCTATGAGGCTGAACGGCACAGTGAGAACTAAAAGGAATAGTGAGACTCGCCGTTGTCTCTTTGTAATCTCTGCTTACGCACCCACTGACTGCAGTTCGGATGAAGTGAAGGACGAGTTCTACCGTAAACTGTCTAACCTCCTCTCGAAAGCCAAACGTTCGGACGTGGTGGTTGTTGCAGGTGACCTCAACGCACAGGTGGGTAGACTGAGTGAGGCAGAAAGGCACTTAGGTGGCACTTTCGGAATCCCAGCTGAACGTACAGATAACGGTGATCGCCTATTACAACTATGCTCAGATAACCGCCTATTTTTAGCCAGCAACAATTTCAGACATAAAGAAAGGCACTGTCTGACCTGGCGTCCACCGAGCTCAACTCAGCGATGGACACAGATAGACCACATTGCTATTAGTCATCGCTGGAGAGGATCGGTGGAAGACTGCCGCTCCTTCTGGAGTACGTGTTTGGACAGCGATCATGCGTTGGTCCGAGCACGTATATGCCTGCGTCTCAATGGACGTAGAAAAAATTTGGCAACAAAACCACTACGAGTTCTGCTGGACAACGAAAACACCAAAGCCGTGTTCAGTGAGAAGTTGGCTAGGCAGTTATCGGAACAAAAGACTGTCACTCATCCAGAAGAAGCTTGGTGCCATCTTCAGTCTGCTGTAAAAGCAGTGCTGGAGACTGTAGCCGACTCCAAAATAATGGCTAAAAAGAGCCAGTGGATATCAGCAGCTTCTTCCAAACTAATGGATGCACGTGAATGCATCCCTGCAGGCTCTGAGTACAATGAAGAGCGAGCGCAACTTAAAGGTAGACTGACGAAAAGTCTACGCAACGATCGCGAACAGTGGTGGGCAAAGAAGGCTAAAGAGATGGAAAAGGCAGCGGCGATCGGTAACAGTAGACAGTTATTTAGACTTATTAAGGAAACTGGGGGGAAAAGGTTAACAACAGTTAGTGAGGCTATAGCGAAGAAGGACGGATCGGCGATTCACTCGCAGGGGAGACGACTGGAACGATGGGCAGAACACCTTGAGGAACAGTTTAACTGGCCTCCAGCCACGATTGCGTTGCCCGCTATCCAGTCGGATCCTGAATGGGACATAGAGACAGGTCCCCCAACACTAGAAGAAGTTGAGAAAGCGGTAGGTAACCTGAAACGAGGAAGAGCAGCAGCACCAGACGAACTAACGCCTGAGGTACACAAGGATGGTGGTTAAGTGCTCTTAGTCAGGTTAACGGAAGTGTTAGCTAGTATATGGGAATCAAATACGATCCACTCCGACTGGTCTAAGTCACTCATTATCTCAGTCTTCAAGAAAGGCGAGAAGTCCTCTTGTGATAACCACAGAGGAATCAGCCTGACGAACATAGTGTCTAAGATCCTAAGTTCTATAATTCTCCGACGCCTGAGTGGAGCTCGTGAACAACAAGCCCGAGAAAACCAGGCAGGCTTTAGACCCGGCTGTGGGTGTATCGACCAAATATTCACACTGCACCAGGTCCTGGAACATAGGCATTCTTATAGACGCCCGACACTAGCTCTATTTATCGACCTGAAGGCGGCATTTGACTCCGTTGATCGAGAAGTCTTATGGCAATGTCTCAGTGAAAGGTGTACCGTGTAAGTACATCACCTTAGTGAAGGCTTTCTTCTCGAACACTTGTGGACGTCTTAGCCTATGGTGAGATGTCCAGGGAGATATACTCATCGAGTGGTGTCTGTCAAGGATGTCCACTGTCTCCATTCTTATTCAATCTTATGATAAATATTCTCATAGAGGTTTCCCTCTTGTCACCAGGTCACACCGACGTTGACCTGATCACAGGAGAATTTTTGTTAGACCTAGAATACGCAGATGAAATAGTCCTGTTAAGTGAAGACGCTGACAAGATGCAGAGTCTTCTGAACACTTCGAGTGGCAATTTGAGAATGTTTGGGATGCGTTTCTCACCACCCAAATGCAAATTGTTGCTCCAGGATTGGTCTTCAGCAGTACCACAGCTAACAAATGCACAGAAGTCCCCTCTGTTCTGCAGTATGGCTGTGAAACATGGCCATTGAAGGTGAAAGACATGAGAAGGCTTCAGGTTTTCGACCACCGTTGCCTTTGTAGTATAGGCCGTATTCTGTGGTGTCACCGCGTGAGTAACGCAGACGTCAGGTGTAGAGTTTTAAGGAGTAGAGGTAAATCAGCTGACGAGGTTGTGAACCTTCATCGACTGAGATGGTTGGGACACCTACTACGTATGCCTAGTCACCGATTGCCTCGTCACACAATGTTGGTCGAAGTAGGTCGAGGCTGGAAAAAAGCCTGAGGTGGCCAGACTAATACATGGCACCAATGTATGAAGTCTCTGACTGTTGGTTTAAGCCATGTGGGGAGATACAGACTAGGTGGTTGAGGTCGGTGGGACAAGAGGAACGAGTGAGTGGTTGGAGACTGAATCTAGGTGGTATGGCTCAGAACCGATGTCAGTGGCGCAGATGTATACACACATTATCCTCATCTTAACAACGCCATACCGAATCTCACCACTTTCTCATTCTTTGTTTCCATCTTTTCATGCTTTATATTTCTTTTGACTGAATTTTCTTATCTTTATCTTGCACGTCACTGCCTTTTTACTTGATGTACTGTACTGAGCTGTGGCATGTCGGACCGTTGCGTAGTAATGCCTGGTCCTATATTGATGTTGATGATGAGGATGATAATGATGCGGATGCATGATTTCATTAAAGTCTCTTTTCGTAGTTAAAAACGACAAAATATGATTTTATATGCAACTTAGTGAAATATTTTATCTTTGGATGAATCTGCTAGTTGTTTAGTATTATTGAATATCCTACTATCTAAAACACACTGGTGCCTATAAAATCTTTTTGGTGTAGTTATGTATCTGCCATATGACAGATGTTTTTACTCTACTGCACAAGTGATGATATTCAGTTCATGTTAAGCTTACTGGGTAAAATATCCAAATAAAATCACTTACCAGTGCTTCCTATTATTTATGTAACTCTTGAAAGTGATGGACACGGATTGTCTTATGAATTGAATAAGTAAATATTTAGGGCCATTTCAAGGAAATTTTTTTCATTTATTAATAAGATGGATCTAGTTTTGCCTATGTTGTAAGATAGGATCGATCCGAATTTCTCAGGCTTTATAGAGTATAATTGTGATAATAACAATTTATCCATATATTGAAAGGTATTTTTCTTTTTTTAATGAAATGGCAATCTGAAATCTTTCGTCCAGTGTTGATAGTCATTTCGACAGGAAAATGCATTCCAGTTATAATGATATTCTTGACACTCAAATTAACGAAGATAAAAAACCTATGGTTCAATCGGTTGAACTGTGTAAAGAATTCGAAAAGGTAAGTATGATATAGCGTCTGTGTCTACTTTTTGTTTTGCGTAACTGTTACCGCTCACTTTTTGTCGTCTTAGTTTAACATTTCTCTATAGAATTTTTACCTATTCAGATGACTTTTCGGACATCACAATACAAAGTTTTAGAATTTATGTACGCTACATCACTGGAGCAGGTAAATTGATAAATAACTGATTTCTATAGTCGCATGTCCATTACGACAAAAAGGCACCGTTCACTCGCTTTTCTGTCGATTGCAAATGGGTATCCTCCAAGTATTTTTTACATTTGATGGAATTACCGTGTTAGCGGTGCCAAGGTTGAGCGGAGGGTACTAGGCGACAAAGACAAGTCAATCGATGAAGTTGGTAATCTTCAGAGTCTGGCCTAACTTGAACTTGAACATGCCAAGCCACCAATTCGGTATGAAATGTTAGCCTAAGTAGGATTGCATTGAAAGAAGGTTCAAGGTCGTCAGACCAAGATATGATATCAGTCCATTAAGTCTCTGACTAACTCAAAATCGCTCGCAATGGCAGGAAAGTAACTTTTCAACATCCTTCATGAACCTTTGCCTGTCACAGTATCACTTTTTCCACCCTTTTTTCTTTGTATGCTGCTCTAAAGTGTGGTAATTTCTTGTTTTGTGTTTGTTTCCTGAATACAGAATGTTCGTAATGTAGATGGTGTTGAAGGTGAACTAGCTTTCCTAAGAAGTACATTTATTGCAAATGGCTAATATAACCGTTTTTTGTCAAAAATGTTTGCGAAAGACAAGATCAATCAACCAAGTTTTCAAATAGACTTAGTTCATAAATTTGAAATTTAAAGGTGACGTACGTGAAATTTATCTTTCCAAATTGATCACCAAAACATTCTATGTTCTCCTTCATCTCTCCTCTCTGCACATCTACTAGTCCATCTGCTCTTGTAGAACAAGGTTCATCGACTGTAGTCAGATACTGGTGTCGATGCGTATACGAGCACATATTTCAGCTTGGTTTTACAGACATGAAAGGAAAGTGCATGAGAAGCTCTATCGTCGAAGGTTTACTGCTTTCCGACCATTCGAATGACCCAAGCAATCACTCTAAGGCTTTTCATCGGACTCACTAACTTATTTCACGTTTCTTCGTTTTCATTTTCCAAAAAACAAAGACTGGGTGTTCATTAACTAAAGCCTGACCTTCATATGTACATAAGGATTATACACAGTCTTTGTCGTGGCTTCAGTATAATCTGCCTTGTTTTCGTTCGACTTACCCTTTCATTATCATCGTTATTTTCTAACTTATTGCTTCTCAGTATTAGTTTAGGTAATCTTGGTGGCTACTATAACTCTTAAACTTCCTAATTGGTCACCCCTTGATAAGCTGTGCGTATCTTGTTATTACTCAACTTCTGCATCTGCAACTAGCAATATTCGTTTAGATATACGAAAGACACTTCTAACAAACTACAGACATTCATCAACAACTGCCTACGCTCGTTACTGAAGATCAGATGGCCAGAAAGAATAAGCAACAAGGAACTCTGGCCTGGCAACGAACCAACCAAGAACTTATCACTCAACAAATATGCAATGGAAGGAAGTGGTGATGGATTGGGCATACACTGAGAAGGCCGACTGGGGACATCACGCGCCAGGACAGGCCCTCGAGTGGAACCCCGATGGGAAGCGACGAGTTGGGCGTCCCAGCTGAGGGTGACATGGAGGAGATCGTGCGAGGAATAAATGAGAGCTTGTGGGCTGTTGTGGAGCCAGGTTGAAAAGATTGTAGAGAACAGAGCGCATTGGAGACGTGCTACTGAAGCCCTATGTACCATTAGGAACCCAACGGATAAATGATAATATATATATATATATATATATATATATATATATATATATATATATAGTTTGTTTGCATTGTGAAGTTTTCAACCCTCATTCATATTAATCAATCTCTTTTTCAGCAGTTGGATTGGCTTGACGAAAAGCATGCGAATCATGGTGAGCTTTTTCTCTATTCAGCCTCTATTTTGGCTTAACTTTTGATGGTATTCTTCACCAGTGGTTTTTCATGCCATAATTTACTGCAATGCGTTTTTAATAGTTTCTGATAACTGCTGGATTTATCAGAAAGATTCTTCAGTGATGCATATTTATTGCCTAATGACTTATGCTTTGCATGCATTACTTATTTTAGGCGCCGTTATCCAAATATATATTTAACATGTGATATATTTGGGAAACTCGTACTTTTGTTTTACATATTGGTTAGAAATGCTGACAAATCTTAGTTTCGAGGGCATGTAGTACAGAATGATTTGTTCACTAAGTTTAATCCTATAGTGTTGTCATTTTGAATTCACAAATATAGGCTCATTGTAAATATTGTGGATCGCCACCTATGGCGCCGCCGTGATATTCGTTGGTCTATTAAGGGTCGCGTGTACTGCACAACAGTCCGGTTTGTTCTACTGTATGGCTGTGAAACGTGGCCATTGAAAGTGAAAGACATGAGAAGGCTTCAGGTATTTGACCACCATTGCCTTCGTAGTATAGGACGTATTCCATGGTGTCACCACGTGAGTAATGCAGAAGTCAGGAGTAGAGTTTTAAGGAGTAGAGGTAAATCAGCTGACGAGGTTGTGAACCTTCATCGACTGAGATGGTTGGGACACCTACTACGTATGCCTAGTCACCGATTGCCTCGTCACACAATGTTGGTCGAAGTAGGTCGAGGCTGGAAAAAAGCCTGAGGTGGCCAGACTAATACATGGCACCAATGTATGAAGTCTCTGACTGTTGGTTTAAGCCATGTGGGGAGATACAGACTAGGTGGTTGAGGTCGGTGGGACAAGAGGAACGAGTGAGTGGTTGGAGACTGAATCTAGGTGGTATGGCTCAGAACCGATGTCAGTGGCGCAGATGTATACACACATTATCCTCATCTTAACAACGCTATACCGAATCTCACCATTTTGTCACTCCTCTTTCCTTTCTTCTCGTACTTTATATTTCTTTTGACTGCATTCACTTATCTTCATCCTTCACCTCACTACCTTTTACTTGATGTGCTGATATGAGGTGTGGCAACTCGGACCGTTGCGTAGTAATGCCTGGTCCTATGTTGATAATAATGAAAATAATGATGATATTGTGGATATGCACGTTGCCTTTTCCCATGATTTACTCATGTGTAACAGGTTTAGCGTGCCACCTAGTTAACAGTACTTTGTTGCTGGTTTTTTTAACCTCATAATATCTGTCAAGTTCTTTTTGAAAGTTTTTTATTCATCTTTTCAGTTTCGTTTGTTTCCCAAGTAAAGAGAAAAACAATTTTTACATGTAATAATCCCTTGAGTTCACGTGGTGCAGGAAAAATTTCCTTTTCTCGTTAATAAGACTTCTTCTGTCCCTTGCAAATCTATTCATTCACGTGATCTTGTATGAGATTTTGAGGAAAAGTACTTTTTTGGGAAGAAAATCGTTCGCCTTCTTTTGTTTTCGTAAAAATCACATTAAAATATTTTGCGTCGTAACATTAGAGTGCTTTGCCCCCGAAATGTTTTTCTTGAATTAGCCTTTCATTTGCCTTCCATTTGTACATGCTGCATGGAATAAAATTTCATGTTTTTAACAAAATCGTTGACTTCTGTGAAATAAACTTAGGTCATTTATCTTCGCAGCACACTTCAGAGAAGCTGATAGATGACAGTTCAAATTAATCGACTTTATAAAATCTGAACGTTTCTTGCTTCTTATCCTATTTCATCAACTGGTCGCTGAACCATCTAGGTATTTTTAATATGGCATTTTGCTATTCGATTGCATATCCTACGTCTAATTTATATTTGTTGATTTAAATCCAGAAAATTAGTATAGCCTTTTTTAATTTTAACTTAAGCGTAATCTTTTTCAATCTGTGTTCAACTTACAAGCGTACATTTTCGACTATTTCATTGGGAAGGTTTTTAATTTGATAATTTATTGCTTAAGATAAAACTGCAGCAACATGAAAAAATTTAAGTAAAGAAAAATGGTGATGGTAATTGGAGTTGGAATAGCTTGTTCCTAACTTCTTGGATTGCAAAATAAATTGGAATTTTAGACAGACTAAAACCTGTCTGGTTTTCTCAAGTTTTCTGTTCTCCCGGTCCACTTAAGCGTCGGATAACTATGGACCCTAAGATTTTGGACATAATATTCGTCTTACTAGTTCCCCTATGGTTCTCACAGGAAGACTTCTCTCCCTTCTTATAGACTGGAATGATCAGCGAAGTAGACCAGTCTGATGGCACTACCTCTGGTTTCAACCTAGTAACTTTGTCGCTCTAATCAGAAATTCCCTACCCCAATCCTTGGGAACTTGTGATGGTACATCATCAGGTTCCGCTACTTTGAATCTTTCAAGGTTCGAAAAAGCTTTTTCAAATTCGACCCGCGCTGGAGGACTGACGTCTACGTTCCATTCAGATTCAGGCTGGATGTTGGGCAAAATAAGCGTTGCTATGAGTCGGTTGAACGAACCAGGCTTCAAAATGTCCGACCCAACTTTCTAACCATCTGTCATGAAAGGTTATCAGTGTCCCATCCTTTTCAGTAATGGTTTAACTAACCATTGGTTTCTTCTTCCCAGTATCCCTAGTAAACCTAAATAGTTGTTGGGTGTTACCTAACCCTGATGCTTTCTCCATCTCTCTCATTCTCGCCACCGTCCACCGCTCACGATCATTGCAAAGACGTTTAGTCAATTTACGTTGAAGTTGCTTTCGGTTTTCATTGTGGTCCAGCTGTTGGTCCAACCGACTGCAATCAGTCTTTTCGCACCGATCAGTTCAGATGACATTGTGGAAACCCAATGACGTTTGCTAACCTTCGGATGTAGGTCACCAACTTTCTTTGTCGTTGTTTCTAGAGTGGACTGAATATCACTCCAGGTTTCCTCATGATTAGAGTTGTATTGCCCGTCAAATAAATGCTTAGCTGACTCTCACTAACTACTTATTTAAGGTACTATTTTTATGTTCTTCATTAAACAGACTTTATTATCACCTGTTTCCTAAGACCGGTAAGTGGCAGACATATACGAACCCGTACTCTTGCTTGATAGGAGTCCATACCGGTAATGCAGAAAAAGCAGTAATCCTCTACTGATCATTTCAAAGGTTGGTTAGTAGCACTGTGATCTATCTGTGTCCATCGTTGGTTTGATTTTGACAGGTGCCTTGTGAGATAGTATTTCTCCGTATGCTTTTAAGTTAATGCTACTTGATAGTGATTTTCATAACAGAATTGCCAGATGCCATCGTCATTGTCTGTTTGTTGGCATAGGATTTCGTACATGCCTCCAGGAAAACTTTCCGATTGACCCAGCTTCCCTACTTAATTTAGCCTTAAAGTTACCTGCTATTATGACCATAACTGAACGTTTGCTACATCAAGCAAAATTGACAGTTTCTCTGGTGGAATTCATTCTTTGCATCGTCCGATTTGCATTTGGTGGGTGCGTAGGCTGGATTACGAATAGACTGCCTAGTCTCACGATCCTTTCTAGTCCTTCCGGATCCATTGATCAGGACAGCACATAAACGGCTGTTGAATGGTATCCAGTCGAGGAGTGCACTTTCTACTCTATAACCCAATGCTGTGCCTACACCATTGAATCCACAAGCGTTAACCATTGGGTCTCCGGATACTCTCGATTTGGATTTTGAAGGTTCGCTGCTGTAGCCAGATGAGGTCAACCTAATGACCACACTTGAGTCCTGTGTGTCTCTCAGAGACATCTTACATCCATGGCACGAGTTTGCAGATATCTGGTGAACGGTGGTTGCTGTCAAGTTTGGCATAGAGCTCAGACGTTGGGAACTTTTATTTGAAATCCATGGGGGGTATTAGGCTACTGGGAATAAAGTTTAGATGACTTTGATGTTTGGCAATGCTCGCAGAGTTAGAAGTTGGAGGAGATGTAAGAGACTTAGTATCGGGAGGTGGCAGCAAAGGAGGAGACTGCGTTGAGAAGGATAGGTTATGTTTGATTTAGTCTTGTGTGCTACTGTAAGTCCGCAGGCGGTTGACACTTCCTGGATGCATGTACCGTTGATGGCTATTTCTTCTTAGGGCATCTGAAAGGGAGAAAGACTTGTTTAACTGCAGAACTCATTGGACATTTTCTTGAGGCCTTCCACGCAGCTTCTAGTGGGTTATTGTTTTAAGATGTGGCTATTCTAACACCGGATAGAGAGAACCGACAGAGCACCAGCAGACTGTGGGGAGGGCAGTGTTCTATTTTTAGGGCTGACCTTTCATAATCCCCTCATTTATTGGAAAGACATCGTCATTGTGACACTGCTGGTCACTCAATGGAAATACTTTTTTGCCCTCGCAGTCCATCCAGTCAGCAGTGAGACGTCGCCCTCACGCTCCTAATATAGTGTAGAAGTTTATACTGCAACGGTGACTGCTTTCCGTCTTATCACTATCCGACAGACCTTTCTGGCGTGGTAAAACCTCAAGGAAACTAGTGTTTCAGCCAGTGTAGCTCTTTGGGTCATTGCTTAATGCACACCAGACCACCATGCCATTTTAGCAGCTGTCGATGCCACTGCTACAGATTTGGATTCATATCATTCAACATTTTACTTTGTTTCAAAAACCTTATATAGAAAGGCTACACTGCACTGCATGTCGCTTGTTTGAATCCATTAGTGTGATGTTTTGTGTGAGGACTTGAAAACTCACAATTTCCTCAGAGTTAATTTCAGTGTCTTAGATCAAGGTAGGTTTTGCTGGTAATGCACACCTTATTACTGAAGAATGAGATAATTCCCATATCAGTAGTCTTTCATTCTTGTACCGTCCTAATCGGAAATTGACAATATTTTATTTTAATTATATTTTCCATTTAAACCGTCCAGAAGTTAAGAATAAATCTTATGAATTTATCAATAAGGATGATACTATTACTGTCTACAACAGACAACGTGCTAAATATTTACGTTTATTTTTACAACGTGCTTCTCATTCACAACAACAACCACGTTTTGCAGTAAATCCCTTACAGACTGATGCAGAGTTACTTGATTCTGAAACAGCTATGCTCAACAATAAACGACCACTTGCGAATTCTAAGCATTCAAGCAAATATCTCTCTTCTTTTACAAATGTGGATATGAATTTTAAACCATCTATTCATCGTATTTCTGGATCAACTGTTACGAATAAAAGTTGTTTGAAGTCAACTTCTCAAAGAGTATTTTACAATTGCTGCGACGATGATTCTTCATTTGGAAATACAAGTAATCGGATAACAACTGCAAATATTACAAAGTACGTATGTTTTTAAAATGATTGTATGGTTTTTGCCAAACTACCTTCGAATTAAACAGGAATTCTTCAAGCTCAACTATATGATCTTTTTTATGTGGGTTGATTTTTTATGTATATTTAAGATACTTTGTGCGTTATATTGTAATGCCTGATGATGCATTCTTTTCAGGGAACACTTAAATGTGTGTTTAGTGTTTCCTTTTTGCATCTATTAAATCTTTGATAAGGTCATTCACAGTGGAAGCTGGAATAGAGATACTTAGTATTTGATCTACGGTATCTGTTGAATTATTGCTTTCATGTAATGACAACGAGTATGCGATATTAGGGTTGAACTTACACTTTCAGACAATGAGTGACTTTAGTCTGCGAGGCACTTGAAATTCATTTTTTTACATTTTGGATGATACTGCGGAAATGTAATGTCTTTCTATGCTGCTGCATATTTTTCCTCTTCTCGGTATTTTGTTGTTGATTTCGTCACACTTTCTGTTGGTATTTGATAATAGTCAATCCATATAAATGTGTATCATCTTCAGCGCTTGCTTCATGATATTGATCATGAAAAACAATATTTTAGTGTTTTCATCGCTTCGACTATCAACATTACGATCAAAGAAGACCTCACATTAGTTATTCTGTAACATGATAATTGGTCACTGATTTTCAGACTTGTTCATTCCGCTAGTAGTAAACTAATTAGGTGGAATTCATCAGCTTATAAAGCTTATTTTCTAATCATTTAACACATTATTTGCACTACAGCCTACTTATTAGCTCTGTGTCATTCCAAACTTAAACTGCTTTTTACACCGGTTTTTTCTCTGCGTTTCTTATTTGCTAACCACTTATCGTCATGGGGTTTGCAATGATTTGAACTTAATACACATTTTTTGTCCTAACGGTCCGTCAATCATACATACAGGTAAAACAGAAAGAGGTTATTTGATAATTATTTAAAAAGGTTAAAGCACAATATAACTTACAACAAAAGACTTTTTTGACTGCCATTTCATTTGTTTTTCAACTAAGTATGTTTGAAAAAGTCATTCAGTTGAAATATACGTTTTTAATTCATCTAAACTGCTTTAGAAAGCAGATTACTTCCACCAGTTTGAAGACTGTTTTTGTACGTAAATGTTGGGGGTTTTAATGGGGGTTGACGTGTGTTGGAGCTTCACTTCACATCAGCAAACAAAGAAAAGTTGGGTAGAAAATGAATGACACAAGTGGATGAAGAGTATGAAGAGGGAGGTAAAAAATAGACTAGTCTTATGTTTCAAAACCTCTCGAAGGGTAAAGTTCTGATGGATTTACCCTTGTCCAGTTCTGAGAATTGCCTGATTTTCTTGAGTTATTTAGTCTCAGGTTTCAACAAGGCGTCGGATGAACATAAACTTTAGATCCTAGGGATGATATTAATCAAACTGATTTATCTTTAGTTGTCACGCGAAAATGTTTTTCTTTTGCTGTGAACTGGAGTTATCATCGTTCTAGACCATTTTGATGTGACTGTGATTGCCGTACAAGAGCTAGCACCCCTGCTACTCTGTTCAGTAAGCTTTTACCTCCATCCTTGATAACCTCTAATGACAAACCGTCATATTCTGCTTCTCTGCATCATGTCAGGTTTCCGATAACCTTTTCAGCTTCCAGGGGAGCTGAAAGATGGATGAATTTATAACTGGGTTTGGGCCTGGACAGTGCGCAACTAAAGAGTGACTAGTTAAAATGCATCTTACCTCTCTATCCTGAGAGGATATCAGAGGCTAATACGTTTTTGACGATGGTCTCAATAACCATCGTCTTCTTCTTGCAAGTTTTTTTAAATAAACCTAATTAAATAACAAGTATTATCTAATACTATGGCTTTCTCCTTATCTTTCGATTTTAGTACCACTTGCTGCTCGCTAACATTGCGAAGAGTCTTAGTCCATTGACTTTTGAGTAACTTTCGCTCTTTATTATGATCAGAGCTAGCTGGACTAAGCCTCTATGGGTCATTTTGCGTAAGGTTGTTCAAATCGACTGGTTTTTGCTGACTTTTGGATTTGTGTTACCAACTGTCTTTACCTCTTTTTTTGTGGGAAACTGTATCTTGCGTCAGGCTTCATCAATAAGACGATTGTTTCACTGTTCAAATAAATGCCTATCCTAGCCGAGAGAATTAAGTGATGCAGGTGTTTACGTGTTTTACTTGTATGAAGTGCTTGGCCGTACTAGGCATGTTGGAGAAATCTTATGTTTCATATTGAAGGTCAATTTGAAATCTGTCAAATTATATCATCGGCCTAAGGAACAACGACAAAGAAAGTTGGTGACCTACATCCGAAGGTTAGCAAACGTCATTGGGTTTCCACAATGTCATCTGAACTGATCGGTGCGAAAAGACTGATTGCAGTCGGTTGGACCAACAGCTGGACCACAATGAAAACCGAAAGCAACTTCAACGTAAATTGACTAAACGTCTTTGCAATGATCGTGAGCGGTGGACGGTGGCGAGAATGAGAGAGATGGAGAAAGCATCAGGGTTAGGTAACACCCAACAACTATTTAGGTTTACTAGGGATACTGGGAAGAAGAAACCAATGGTTAGTTAAACCATTACTGAAAAGGATGGGACACTGATAACCTTTCATGACAGATGGTTAGAAAGTTGGGTCGGACATTTTGAAGCCTGGTTCGTTCAACCGACTCATAGCAACGCTTATTTTGCCCAACATCCAGCCTGAATCTGAATGGAACGTAGACGTCAGTCCTCCAGCGCGGGTCGAATTTGAAAAAGCTTTTTCGAACCTTGAAAGATTCAAAGTAGCGGAACCTGATGATGTACCATCACAAGTTCCCAAGGATTGGGGTAGGGAATTTCTGATTAGAGCGACAAAGTTACTAGGTTGAAACCAGAGGTAGTGCCATCAGACTGGTCTACTTCGCTGATCATTCCAGTCTATAAGAAGGGAGAGAAGTCTTCCTGTGAGAACCATAGGGGAACTAGTAAGACGAATATTATGTCCAAAATCTTAGGGTCCATAGTTATCCGACGCTTAAGTGGACCGGGAGAACAGAAAACTTGAGAAAACCAGACAGGTTTCATTCTTAGAAGAGAGTGTTCGATCAGATCTTCATCCTCTAGCAGGTTGTGAAAAACAAGCATACTTACCGGTGGTCAACATTCGTCTTAGTTCCTGGCCTGAAGGTGGTATTCGATCCTACCTACCGAGAGGTGTTTGACAGTGTCTAACTGTGAAGGAGTACTGAGGAAGTATTTGATGGTTATCAAAGCTGTCCACTCGAACTCATACAATCGTGTGATGTCTTGTAGGGAATCGTCGTGTGAAATGACGACAACTGATTGTGTCTGCCATGGATGTCCACTTTCACCGTTCTTGTTTCACTTCGTCATATGTGTACTAATGGACATAACCCAGGGTACGTCTGACTTCGTCAGAGGGATCAGTCTATTCCCCGGAGAGCATCTCATTGACTTGGAGAATGTAGATGATATTATCCTGCTGGGTGAAGACGTTGACAAAAGGTAAGACGTAAATGCTTTTTACTGGCATTTGTAACATGTAAGATGATGATGACGATGCTGGACTGATCTGCAACTACTCCCATTTTAATGATAGGGAGTGGAGTTTTGGGATGTGTGGTTTGCTTCCCTTTCTTGTAAAGTTGCATCAGCTTGGACCTCCTTGTTGTTCACAAGAATTTAGCTGGGATACAGAAATCCCGTTTAGGATTTGCCAACCTGCTTCATCTTTGGCGCTAATTGTTGAGAGGTCTGACAATCTGTGAAGGGGCGAGTATGCTGCAGTGTAGTCCGTTTTGTTTTGTTACAGGACTTTGAGAAGTAGTCATGTGAAATATTTGGTTTGAAGAGATTGCATGTTCAAGCCCATTGTGCCTCACTTGATCTGGGGACCGCCTTGTTGGAAGTCTGCAAGTTAGGCGTGGACTATTCAGTAAGGAACGCAAATAAGTCACGAATTTTTTCATATTCACGTACAGAAGTTGTCTGGGGATGTTTTGTGCACGTGAAGCCACCATGTATCTGGATTTGCAATGTTGGCAGATGTATGAGTATGTTGGATGAAGGCTTAAGATATCCAGACAAAGATGCGGCATCAGTTCATTGAGTCTCGGACTGTTGGTTTGAGCCGTGATGATAAGTGTAGACTACCTGACTGGGGTTGTCAAGACGATAAGACTCAGTTGTTGGCGTTCGTTGGTGACATGCATGAAGATCAGTCACGATGGCAGAGTTGTATTTACTCTCTGACGTCTTCTAAAGGTTGAACGTTTTTGTTAATGATTATTTTCTCCTTCACACTTTTATCTGCTTTGATATCACTCTTCACCTGCTTGTTGTTCGCGTAATGGTGTGAAATGTGGTTATTTGAATGCATGCACTTGTGCACACCTTTGTTCTTTATCTTTCTGTCCAAGTCATCTTTGTAGTCGGTGAGATATGTAAGTGCCGAGCCGAGAACGGGTTCACTGAGGCATTCCACTATGTTATGGCTCTGGAAGTTGACTGTTGAAAACTGAGTATAAGAATAGGTCATCAGTTGTGAACCGCAGATGTTATCTCAGCACTGCTTATTTTTGATGTAATTAGTTTGTGAGCAGTTTTAAGGGTAGCCGTAGAATGCTATACAAGGAGGACTAATCAGTCAATAGGACTGTACTATTTCCCTATCTGAATTGAGTTTGGTATGTGTTGTGCTTGCCGAATCACTTTCTACTTTGACGTGCTGTGCTAAGCTATGTTGAATTAGGTTGTAGGGAGCAATATGCAGGCGAACCATGTTACAAATATAAGTTTTTCAGAAAGTAGGCTGCTCGTTTTAGGTTCTGAAAATATTGGGGTGGGTGGTTGTAGACTTTTGTTGTCATGGCTCAGTAATAAATTTCAATAGTTAATGTAAACAACTACACACTATTTTTCATCTTCAAAATTTTGAACATTTTTTTTTATTTCTCTTCATATGCTTTTGTTAACTTCAATACCACACTCTCCACGTCTTTTTTACAACTTAAGCTGATGCTTTTGTATGGAAGATTCTAAGTTGATATGTCGATCTTTCTGTTTGACAGCAAAGGAAAAAGGAAGATATTAAAATAAGTGAAAAGGTTAATATTAAAAAGATTCTGAGTAGCGAAAACTAGTAAGACCTTCATATCTTCGATGATAAAAGCACAACACACATGTGGATCTCTATCCGAAGTTTATCAATGTTACCAAATGTCCCGAAGTAGTAACTGCTATCATTGTGCAGACCGTCGTTACGTATCTTGTAGCTCTGCAAATTCAACACAAAATGATTTTAGGCGACACCAATTTAATATACTTATTTTTTGTGAAACAAACTTTTAGTCTGGAAAGTTATGCTGATGAGTACTAGTTAGCAGACAAGTATTTGGTTCTGTCAATCAGGTCTTACTCGCCCAAATCTTTAGGATCAGTGTTAGAAATGTTGAAATTGTGTAATAATTATTTTGGTGCGTCTTCATAAATTCCAGTCGTTTATCTAATTGGTTAGATGGGCTTTTGAGACTTTCACTTCTTAAACCCTCAACTATACTCTTTTTTCTGATAATTGGAATTGTCTTCATTATGCAGAAGCTTGCGTTGCCGTTGGTGGGTCATCATGTAATTATGCCATATTATTAGTGATGCAGTCTCGAATATGTTTTGCTCGCATTGGTAAAATTTCACTACATGTTATCTTTAACTTTTCGTTTTAGACTTTGATGAAATTAGTTGCCTTATGCCTAAGAATATTTTTCATGCTGAGCAATCTATCTAACAGCAGGTGATGTAGTCATAGTAAAATACTTGAGATAGGTTGTAATGGTGTAGTTATTAGTGAAATTATAAAACGCTTTAAGTAAAAGCAAGGCTGACATGATGTAAAATAAGAAAGTATTTGTTTTCTTTTTCTGAGTCAACTTTTAATACTGAGCTCAGCATATCAAACCTGTTATTATGATAATATTACGGTATTCTCAGGATAACCTTTTTATCACCAATACTACACGGTAACTAAGACACGTTTTTGGCACATTTCATGATGTTCTTGTTCATACGACGAATGCGTCTCATATGGGGTTTTTTATGGATTCAGATATTTGTGAAAAAATGAATTCAGTTTGTATTTGATTTTTGACATGAAGTGACACCAAACAAACTAGATAATAGGTACGCTTTTCTTCAGCAAAATTATACCGTATCCTCACTTGAGACTTTGTTACTTCTCATTTCATCTAGATGCCAAACTATTGAAATTGGAGTAGATAATGTCGAGAAGCAAAGTGTTTTATAATTTGTTAAGACTTCTTGCTGCTTAGATCAACTCAATAGAAAATAATTCTTGACTTACTGTTGTGTATGCAGACTTCGAAGTTCACTTATATTAGAGGTCCACATTTATCTGTTTGTCTCTTTAAGGGGACTCTAGTTTTATATACTATCAGTCTTTGTGATCTATTCAAAAAAATATATAATTTGTAGTCAATTATACAATTTTTCATAAGAATCAATGTTGATGAACATTGGTTTAAGCTCTAAAGATAATGAGTGTAAAAATTGACCACTGTGGTAGAGTGTAATTCCATATTAGATTTGTTTATTTGATATGGCACATAGTAATACAGTATTATTTACTTGATTTCTTTTCGAGCATCAATTATTGCTCATAATCATATCAATGTTTCTTCTTTGAGAAAATTCTTTTCCTTGAACTTCACAGTAGTTAAACCTTGCAATTCACTGCAGTCAATTCACCAGTCCTGGGAATGACTTTTTATCTTATTCTCTCTTGACACTCCGTATTCAGAATGCGTTCTGTACAATAATCAAGCTGGTAAACTATTTACTATTTTATGGTTCAGGCACTCATATTCTGACTTTTGAGTCATGAGTTTTGACCGTCTTTTTGATCACTCGAGTTTCTCACTAACCCAATACGACTAGCCTTCAGTTATTAGTTGGGGCCTACGATGTTATCAGCCTGTATGTGCTGACTAAATTAAATCTTTTATGTGATAAGGGTTTGTGTTTGCGATCACTAATGCGTTGCTGAATTGGAGTAAATAATACTCAAAATCAGTAGACTTATATCCGATTCTAACGCTTATTTATACACCATATTTAATACTGAGTGTTTTGCTGTAATATTATCATTCTCTCAAACAATCCTCCCCCACCACCATTCTGCTTTGTTTCAGACTCAGAATATATTGAGACGAAAGCTAATGTTCATAAGCTACTCAGTGTTAACTTGATGACTCTACCACTAACCTCTATTAGTGTACATAACTTGTTAGTTCTAATCAGTCGGCTTTATTAAAAAAATCACTGAATTTACAATGAAGTCAGAACGTAGCTTACGTATCATTTTAACTTCGTCATAATTCTGTTTACATTTCATCAAGAACCATCACTTATGGTTTTGACGCAATCTAGTGTCCACTTGTTTTTCCCTAGTTTGCATAAGTACCACAACAAGTCGTATTACGTTGCGTGATTAAAAAAGCAGTCAGTTTCCATACCATTCCTAGTTGAAATGCTGAGAGAGGGAAATATGCCTTCTTAGAATAAGTGTCGTTGAAATTTTACTCTCCGCTTTAGTCTGTTCTACTTTATTTCATTTATAAACGTGGACTCCTTTCAGACTCACTGCATGATAATATTTGTTTTTCAGATTTGAAATTGTGTTTTCATCCTTCTCATGTTTTTTGAAAATCTTATTGTAGTACACAAGGTGCAGGAATTCATGAGCCTAGAAGAAATATGAATCAGTATCTGGATCCAATAAGTGGTTTTGTCCATGACACATATTCCCGTTCCCATTATCTCTCAAAAAGTGAATCACACGATGCAAACATGAACACACGAGTAAGGTCATCTTAATTTTTACAGTCACTATATGTTTGAATCTTTTCTTTCTGTGCCATGTTTTTCTGACAGTATAATTTGGCGTCACAGGGTTATTTTTGAAGTTTATATGAAATAGATAGCAGTCTTCCGCCTTCTTCTGCTAACACCCACAAAAGTATTCTAATGTGTAACTTAGTACCTGCTTAAAGGTTCTTCAATCAAGCTGTTGTGTAGAAGGAAACAATGCTTGCTAAGTCCCTTAGTCTTGGTAGATTGAGTGATGATGCAAACACAGTGTGTTACTATTCAATTTTTATTGAAATATGAGCTATTCTTGTCGTAATTTTATGAACATAGGATCACAATACTACTTGATTATTCTTTCTTTTATTTCGATGTCCTGGGTTTTTCATCTGTGTAAAAACTGTCACTTCTGTCAATGATTAAACACCCCATACATTTTCATTCTGCGTTTACTATTTTGAAAGGGAAAAAAATGCTTCAGCAATAGTGAGACTCAATTCCGTTACTAGAGTGAAAAACCCCCTTATTCGCACTGGTTCAGTGATCAGAAAACTTCCCTTCTCTATCTGCTACCGACTTCAGCTTCATTTTATTCACACATAAAATGACTGAATGTCGAGAATTCGTGGGGTTTTTATTCATTCACTTTGATCAGGCTCTTTTATCTACACACAATATGGTTACGTAAGTTCGGCGAACAGGTTAATTCGAGACGACAAATCAAACTGAAAACAATTGGTTGGGAGCTGTTTGTATTTACATTTATATTAAACGTTATTCTCAGCGCTTTGAACAAGGAATGTAGATAGGATGATATTGTAGACTCTCACTGGCTGATGTGTTTGAACCATTTGCTATTCTTATTCATGCACCGTCTTTCCTGATGTGCATTGCTTAGTTCAGTATGGTCATTTGGGAAAATATCAGTTGATTATTGGTTTAAGCCACTTTGGGGGCTACAAGAGTAGAGTTTCTCAAAATTCCACTAGTCAATAGTTGGATACTCAAGATAACACATTCTGCAGACAAGATGCATTCATAAAATCAAAAGCAGGGGGATATCCTTTAGTTTATAATTCTTGTTTCCCTTCCCTTCACATATCCTTTTGTTTTGATTTTGTTTTCTGCGCTATTGTGAAGTATATCAACCTAAACAGATTCACCATTGTGCTGAGTTTTACGGGTATTTAGTTTGTCTTAACGTTATACTTCAGTTATATTTACTAATCATTACTAAATGTGATCACAGTGAACCAATTTCACACTGTTTATTGTTGTCGACAGGTCTTATGACACCCTTTTTATCGGTATTAAATCGCGTCATGAACTGTAGTTAGTCGAATACATAAACCCCTCTATCAGCTTCCATGTGTTATGCGTTAAAATACAGGCAGTAGGTATCTCATTCATGTGATATCATAATGAAGGGAGAGGCATTCATTGCTGATGTCTTACTTAATGTTTATCATTTTATTTTGACGGTTAGCCAACACTGAATGTATATGTGATGAAATATTTTTGTAAAGCATACACAAAGTAGATAGGTAGCAGGTGAATAAATTGTCAATGATTTGTTATTTCGTAGTTTTTTGAAGTACACATGACTGTGATTGCTGATACATAAATTATGTTTGAATTAAGATTAACCTTGGTTGTTTGTACGTATTATTTTTTTGCAAGTGTAAATGTCATTTCCGTGCAGACTGTTCATTGATAAAAAGCAGGAGTTTTCACCATATACCTGTGTAACAGATTAAGTATGTGAAGCATTTTATTGAATGGTTTGTAATTGATTTACTGGGTTCACCGAGGAAATGTGGCTCCTTAGTAATTCTCACTTTATAAGTGCGTTCGTATATATGTGATAGGTGATTTTTGTCAGTTATTTTGACTGAAAATCTGTTTTTATTGTTTCTTTTTGATACTAAAGTGTTTGATTAGTTTAAGAGTTAGTAGACTCCATTATATAGAACCGACTACCCTGCTCATATTACAGTGACTGCTTTACATTCTGAATATATTACTTCTTACTGTGAAATGAATTGTGTTGTATGTAAACCATCTGAAAATGCTACCTATCCATCTTCACTACGTGGAATGCACTACTGAATGTTGCTTTGAGATTTTTAAGGTTAAAATGATAGATTTGAAATTAAATTTATATTCTTGCATTTATTCTCTAAGCTTCCAAAATATTTACTGGTCATTATTTTGGTAATCTGCAACCTATTGGGAATTCAGGCGCACTGATCAATGAAAACAATTTGCTCAACGTGTTTGAGACCACATCATGGTGTACTATATTCAAATATAATCTACAGAAATGCTTTGATGTAGATACTGTTTATTGGCATGTATTAATGTGGTTTAAGCTGAAAGAGAAACTAGCTCAGATCATATCTCTAATCCCACCCATTTCTTTCGATCGCCACATAAGAGTAAGACCAACTCGGATATGCAACCCATCCTTATAGGTAGTATTTCCTTAAATCTAAATATCTCAGTTAAGACATATTCAAGCTGGAGTCCTGGAGCACACGAACTCAAATCATCATAGAATTTTTAACAAGCACAAAACTTACATTCCAGGTTCCCATAAAAATGACAGTTTATATCTTTACTCATTCTTTCAAAACTTTAAGTGTTTATCTTGGTGTTTTTTAAGAAAGGGATTATTTTCGTTTTCCTTCTTTGTGCATTAATACTCAAGGGTCAAACAGCTTCAGAAACTGAATATTTTGATCGAATTAACAGTGATTTGGGTAGTGACATTGATTCTTCCTCTTGTCCAGATGAAGTAGAAGCCCCATCACCACCACCGTGTGAAAATGAGTTACAAAACTGGCAGAATTCAAATACAAAGCCGAATGTAAATATTGTTCCTGCACAGGAAATTAAAATAATTAGTAAGAAGCAAGTATCAAGACACTCTACTTATGGTTTTCACAATGCTAAGAGTTACTGTCACAAATGCTGTTCACGTCGTAATGTCTCTGTATCATCAAATACTGATTCAGGCCCACCCAATAGCGTTGAGGAGTCTAATGGTATTATGAACAACAATGATCACAAATCAATTGAATCCCAAGAACTCAGTGGTGCGTCACCAACCAGTTCAGTGAATATCGTCGCCAAAGGAGGGAAGTACGTATCGAATATACAAGAAGAAGTCCTACATTCTATAGTCTTCGAACAAAATGATAAGCAGTTGAATGATGAAACTGCTAAGCAAAATTTCAGAAACATTCATCCTAAATCCAATTTGGTAAGCGACATTTTCTTATATCATGTTTTTATTACTAGTTCGTTACCTACTCTGAAAAATACAAGGCTGTTTAATTTCCAGTGTGTGATTAACATCAAACGGGTGTCACGTTTATTCTGTGTTCATGCGCCGAAATCGGTAAGACCATTCTTAGGAATCCACTGTCGGTTGGCACTGAAATCCCTTCTTATTACCTTCAAGCTTTTACTTTATGACTGCCCCTGAACTTTGTTTCCATTTCTCCACCAATAATTCTAGACCATCGTTAACGTCTTGCAACTATTCAGCCCATAGTAACTGATTGACTCCTCTAAGTTGCTTCATCGGCCTCGTGAAACTACACTCTTAACTACATAGCATAGTTTAAGTGTTCGTACCCTTCATCAAATTAGAGAACAACCTTAGCTGGCCAAAACTTTGGGATCTTGGGTGATGAGCGCATACTGTATTTTTAAGACATCCATTAAAAACTCAAGTGTAGTTATTTACTTAAACCCACTTAACCAGTATGGTAACTCTGAAAAACTAACTTTTCCAGATTCCTCAACCAGTTTTCATGCCCGTGCAGATCTGGGTAAAGCATTCACCCATAGGATAAGAATCCCTTTTCTCGACCGTATCCTAGTGAACACTCATCTGTGCGATATTCAGCTAAATTATGCAGTATGGAGTAAGGCGCTTAGTGAAACTCACCGTTATATCTCCATAATCTGTACTTATGCACCTTACTAACTGCAGTCCAAATAGGGTGAAGAATAAGTTTTCCCGAAAGCTCTCTAGCTTTCTTTTAAAAGCCGAGCATTGAGATGTGGTCGTCATAGCTGGTGACTTGATTCCACAGGTAAGAAGGTTGGAACAGACAGAAACACCTATGTGATACTTTTGGGATCTCAGCAAAACGAATGAATAATGGCTATCACCTGCTACATTTGTGATCAGACAACCATCTATTTGTAACGAGCATGGATTTCATGCATTAAAAGAGACAGTCTGAGATGAGATCAATCTAACGGTGAAAGTATATGAGGCATGTCGTTTCAGTTATCGCTGGATGGAGTCCATAGAAAAATTTCACTCTTTCTTGAACTCTTGCTTGAACAGTGATCATTTATTTATCATTATTTGTCCCTTGGGTTCCTAATGGTACATAGGGCTTCAGTAGCACGTCTCCAATGCGCTCTGTTCTCTACAATCTTTTGAACCTGGCTCCACGACAGCTCACAAGCTCTCATTTGTTCCACGCACGATCTCCTCCATGTCACCCTCAGCTGGGACGCCCAACTCGTCGCTTCCCATCGGGGTTCCACTCGAGGGCCTGTCCTGGCGCGTGATGTCCCCAGTCGGCCTTCTCAGTGTATGCCCAATCCATCACCACTTCCTTCCATTGCATATTTGTTGAGTGATAAGTTCTTGGTTGGTTCGTTGCCAGGCCAGAGTTCCTTGTTGCTTATTCTTTCTGGCCATCTGATCTTCAGTAACGAGCGTAGGCAGTTGTTGATGAATGTCTGTAGTTTGTTAGAAGTGTCTTTCGTATATCTAAACGAATATTGCTAGTTGCAGATGCAGAAGTTGAGTAATAACAAGATACGCACAGCTTATCAAGGGGTGACCAATTAAGAAGTTTAAGAGTTATAGTAGCCACCAAGATTACCTAAACTAACACTGAGTACAGAAGATCTTCACACTGGTTTCAGGTTAATCAACTCCTGTCTTGTTTTTCCGATCCTGGCTGCTTTGACGTCCTCGTCTGTGCCTGTGCCTCCTGTAGTTGAAACGGTACTGTCTAGATAGGTGGAAGAGGCTACTTCCTTGAGATATCTCCGGTTGGTGGAGATTGGAGCTTGTTGTCGTTATTGTTGGTGGTGTTGGTTGGGTATCTTCATCACCTCTGTCTTCTCTACATTCACTTGAAGTCCCGTCTCCGCTGCCTGCCCTGCCTCTTCTGTCAACTTGTTAGTTTTCGCCTGTAGATCTTCAAGTTCTTATGACATCAGACACAAGTCATCGACAAAATCCAAATCTTCTAGGATCTTCTCCCCGGTCCAGCGTATCCCCTACTTCTCGCTCCTCACTGTTTGCTGCATGACCTAGTCTAGTCGACCACAATCATGAATATTATGCGTAATAGTAGACAGTCTTGTTTTACTCATGTCTTCACTTCACTTCAAAGGCATCACTGAGCTTCCCATTGTGAATTACTTGGCGTGTGGCGTCTTCACATAGTTGTTGAGTAAGATTGATAAGGGTTTGTGTTATTCTGTAGTGTTGAAGTAGCTGCCTGCCAAATTACTTCTCGGTCGACGCTGTCAAACGCCTTTTCGAAGTCGATGAAGTTGATGTAGAGAGTTGACTGCCATTCTGTACTCTGTTCTATGATGATGACGATGATGCGTGGCGAACTGTTGCTATTTGGTCTGCACATGATTTGTACTTCCTGAAGCCAGCCAGCCAGCTTGTTCCTGTCGTAATTTTGAATCCAGTGCATCCTTTAGTCTCTCCAGGATGATGTGGCTGAATATTTTGCTCGGAGTGGACAGGAGCATGATTCCGCACCAGTTCTTGCAAAGACTTAGGTCGTACCTCATTGGGAGTTTTACAAGATGACCCTTCTTCCAATCAATAGGCAGGTGCCTACCCTTCCTTCCTTCCAGACCATCTGCAATAGTGGTGTGAGTATGTTCACCGCTGATGTCTTTGCGTCTGTATTCAGTGCTTCTGGAGGAACTCCATCTGGTCCTGCTGATTCCCCGCATTTCGGTAGATTTATGGCGTTCAGGACTTCGACTTTTGTTGGAGGATTTGTGTTTGCTTGTAGTTCTGCGGCCGAAGGCGGTATTTCTAGACAAGTTGAAGGTGGTGGTCAGTTAAATAGTTTTTCGAAGTGGTCAGTTTATTTTTTTTTTGTTTCTCATATTCGGTTATTAAGTTTCCTTCATTATCTTTTATCGGTTTCGTCTGTGTTGATCTATTCACTCCCAGATAACAGTAACCTGGTTATTTGATATAATGTTGTCAAGTCTCTGTCTCTTCTACCTGCAGCCTGTTCTGTTTCACTTGCCAGTGTGTCGTGGAAGTGTCTTTTGTCGTTCCGTGCACTCCTCTTCACTTCTTTGTCCAGTGTAGTGTTTTATACGTTGTACTCAGTTCCTCTTGTCTTTGTGCATCATTGCACTGGTTTATCTTCTGCTTCATCATCACTATCTTCTTCTCCATCGTCTATCAACTTCCATGTGTCCGTCGAGATTCATTCCTGGTCCTGTCTTCTTTCTTCTTCCTTCGTAATACGGTTATGCAGGTTTCCTTCCACATAGTTTTCAAAGAATTCCAGTGTTCATCCAGACAGGTTCCTTCAGGGATGTTGCTCAATGTCTCCCATTTTGTCCTGATGACTGGCTGACGTGAAGATTTCCCTTGTAGTTTTCATTCCTCAGTTCAGTTCTGTTCTGGGTGTTGAACCTGAACTGTGGTCTATCACCAACTTCCTTGAAGGCTTTCAACTTGATTTGGAAGGTAGGTTCCTTGCACTAGACAGTGAGTGGTGTGAACCTACATCTGCTCCTCTTCTTGACCTTGTGTCAAGTAGGCTGCATCTCCACTTTCTTCACATTGAGATGAAGTCAATCTGATTTTTAGTGTATTGTGTCCATCTAGTGAATGGTGAAATCCATGTTGCTCTATGTATATGCTTGTGCTTGAACACACTGTCTCCAATCACCAAATCGTTGAATACACAGAATTCTGCAAACAGTTCTCCATTCTCATTCATTTCATCTATCTCTTCTCTGCCCATGGTTAGTTTTCTTCCTATGTTGTCCCCTCCCGGTTTGGCATTCATGTCGCCCATTAGAATTTTGATGTCGCCAACTGGAGTGGGGTCTTGTCCAGTGTTGATTGCAGTTGTCTGTAGAATTCCTCTTTCTTCTCTTCATCTGCATTATTCATAGGTGTACAGCATGGCATTGTACGATTGTGATTTTCCTTCCTTTTGAGTTGAACCCTGGTGTCATGATCCTACAGGAGGATGGTTGCCACTTCATGAGAGAAAGCCTTCGATGCTCTTGGGGACATCATGATAGCCACTCAAAAACTCAGTGTGCTGTGCTCGTGGTTGTCGTCTGTATGACAATATCGGAGTAGATTAATGACTCTCTAGTTGACAGTTTGGAGAGTCCACTGCCATTCCATCTGCTTTCGCAAATTCCTAGCACTTCAATGTGATACCTTCTCATATCGTTTGCCATCTGGTCAGCCTTGCTAGGCTCAAACACTGTGCGGACATTCCATGTCCCCACGTTTACTTTCGCTTTCATCGAGTGAGGTACATATACATCGGCCAATTGGCTTCCTGAAGGCTTTCACCAACTGGCGTCATTTCGCCTCTCCGATTCCAGCGAGGAGTAATTTTGTTTTTATTTTTTTTATTTTGTTTGTGCTTTGAAGTTTCTTTATCGATTGGATTGGTTTTCCGAGGTGGGGTTGGTAGCCCTATGCCCAAGCTTCCCTCTCTACCCGGGCTCAGGACCGGCTAGTAACTAGTGAACTAGTTAACCAGGCGAGGTTGAACAGTAATCATGCGTTGGTTTTATTGCATATATGTGTGTGCCCAAATAAACGTAAGAAGACTGCAACAGGAAGATCCCTGAGTATAAGTTGATGACACGAATGTTAAAAGTAGTCTGAAAGGACAACTAATCACACTGTTATCAGAAGATGACTGGTATTCATCCTGAAGAAGCCTGGTTATATTTTCAATCTACATATTATATTATATTATCAATCTAAAACAACTGAAAAGGTCATAACTTACTCAGCGAAAGGTAAGAAATGGTAATTAGATCTCAGCAACTTCATCAGTATTAATAGATACACGTAAATGCATTTATGCAAACTGTTTCGACAATGAGGAGTGAAAACAACTTGAATTTAGACTGATAAAGTTTTCTCAGTGGCTGTGAGAAGTAAAGGGGTAATTCATGGAAGACGTAAGAATGATAGGCAGCAATGGACATTTACTTAGATTCAAAGAGTGAGACTGTAGCACAGAAATTCGCATCTGCGATTCACTGATTGTGAGATGGATTTTATTGTACGGAGAACATTGGCCTCGAGCTGTTATCCAGTCGAATCAGATAAGATCTTCAACCTTTGCAGAAGTTGAGGAGGTTGTTAGTAACTTGAAGTGAGAAAGAAAAAGGTTAAGATGGATACTTGTTTTAGAGGAATATAAGGAAAATGGCCTACAATTTATTGGTTAGAATATATGAAATGTAATTTGGTGTTTTGAGGTTAAATATGATGTCCTACGATTGGTCTCAATCGCTAATTGGTGTTACTTGTAAAGTTAGGAAATTCCTCTTTTGTAATAACCGTGAAGAACTTAACCAGATTGTCATTTTATCTGAAATAAGGTGCCTAACTAAGGCTCAGTGACAGAAAACTAGGAAAAATCTGTCTGCTTCCATACCAGTCTATGGGTTTGTCAGCATGTTGAGTACTGTCTCCATCTCTGCAGCTCACCCGTCCAGATACGCGATTTCCATCTGATGGGCTATGGGTTCGAGCTCTGGACCGTCAGGTAGTATCATTATCTGTCACACCAAGGGTGTGGTTCATTACCTAGTGCGTGAACGTGCCTGTGGTTTCTAAATGCACTTCGATTTGACTCGAGATCTTGGAACACAAGCACACATACTGTTGCTAACTATATTTTCTTCCTGAATTTGACAGTGAACCCCTGTGGTGAGCTATCAGGTGAGTCGATTGCATGAATTGATGTCTTCCACAAGTTTCCACATTGTATACATTCGTGTGACTGTCATGGACGAGCTTATCGGTGTTTTTTGCTTTTCTTGCTTTACAATGATGTCTCAACTCGTTAGTGACTGCTTAGTCGAAAGAGACTGCGAAGACAGCGTGGTCTTATCAGGTGAAGACTCTCACAAGATGTAGAGTCTTCTGGACAAGTTATGTAGCCATTCGTAAATGCTTGGGATGTACTGCGTGCCCTTCGAATGAAAACTGTTGTCTCAGGACCCATCTGCATCGACTCGGCATTTAATCACAGGGAAGTGAAGTGGTCGAGAGCGTTAACCATCATGCCTACCTGCAAAGTCAGGATTGGCAGCGAAAGGAATCCTTGTACAGATACAAAAAAGTTAATTGATTTTCGCAAATGCACACCACGAGTGGTACTTGTGAGGTATCTGATTTCTTACTAAGAGTTGAGCGTGCTACACAGCAACTCACTGTATCCTACTATATAAGTGTAAAAAGTGGCTATGATAAGTGAGTTAATGCGATCCTGAGTCTTCATCGACTGAGGTATCTGGTCATTGGATATTGTGATGCACTGGAATAGGTTTAAACCGGAAAGTGGTTTGGGTCCATGTGATAACTGAAATAGATGGTGGAAAACTATAGGTGATGTGGTTTTGAACCAAATACAGTGGTGAAATTGTTTTGACATTTGATGTGCGTCCCTCTTTTCTCATTTTAGGTCTTTTATCATATTATTCTCTTTCCTATTTCTTTCGTTTTGTTACATTGCATCTTGATGTAGTGATGTGTGATGTAGTAGCCAGGACGGTCACTGAGTTATGTCGGGACTGGTTGTGGTATGGATTAACTTGATTTCTAAACTAACTAAGCAGAAGTTTACTCATAATACTGTTCCCCTGATCTTTGTGGAACAAATAATGGCGAACCATCGGTTTTTCAGTTATGAGGGTTTACAGGTCCCTTTGGAATTTTAACAACATTTTTTTGACCAGTGAAGTAAATAACATGTTTCTCTGATGTAGAATGTTTCACAAATGAATGAACTAAAATCTGTTTAGATGGCAGTAGCAGAACGCTGACCACTGAACACTTGGTGAAAATATAATGTACCGAAAAATATTAGTAAGACTTCAGTTTATATCGTCCAGGTAACTAGATAGACATCAGTATAACACTTTGTTTAAAAGCGCATCAGTTTAAGTTTCTACATGTCATCACAGCGCATAAAGATCGTGAAATAAACGAAAAAAGGTATGAATGGAGCGAATAAACAAATGAAGATTGATAGAATTAATGATTTTTCGATGATTATGAAGAATAGATGTATCTACGTCAATATCATGAATTTTGCAACTTGTCATCTGAGACTTCTATTATGCTTTCAAATCAGAAAAGATGACATTAACTATTGGTTTATGGACGCAAAAATGAACGTGTAACTTTTAACTTATATCAGCATTGTGTATGCTCATATTGAATTGTAGGTGACCTGAAGGCATTTGTAGATTAGATGTAGAAACGTACTTTCTTGGAACCTATTCTTCCTAATAGCTCCCAACCTCTAATTGTAAGCAACTTGTAAACCCTAGGTAGGTGGTTGGTTTTTTCTCTTTTGCTCAGAGAATCAGAAACTTCAGTCATTAGTGCCACCTCTTCGTCTGATCAGTTTTAAATTTATCCAGTCTTACTGTTCTATATTTCACATTAACTTTTTCCTATAATATTGACAGAAAGTACCTATGCTGCATACGTGGTCTTTTTGTTTTTGTCACTTTTTCCTTTCTAGACTAGAGATTCATATGGTTATGAAAACTTACCTTCTGTTAAACATGATACTGGTATGTTATCCTAAGTTGGTTGTGCACTTTTATTTTTCTTTATTTGTGATATTTAGTTACTGAAAAATTCTAACACTAAATAAAATTATAATTTGAAAAATAAGGTGATCATAAGATTGTGTACATTTGTTTAGTTAGGATGATAGAAAGTTTTGCATGCCTCATTTCACAGGGATTAACTCTAAAGCATTTTGATTTCACAGTAAGCAAGCGATTGTAATTTTCAATAAACTGAGTGAAACAATATGAAACTGTACCTTAATACTGAATGCATTTGGTTTGGAGATTTAGTTTGGTCGTAAATGAACTTCAGATGTCTGATTTCGTATGTATTGGTAGGGATCGATTCATCTTTAGAAGCTACTTGAAGAAGAACTTGGAAAAACAGATCACAAAGTATTGCATGACTGAATAACATGTTTTTATCCTTAAAGCACCGAAATAATTATCTTCACCTTTGTGTAACTGGGTTTTAAGTTAAATACAATTCGTGAGTTAGAAGGGTATCAGAGAACGTCTTACGTTTTGTAGCTAATTACTGTATGTTCGATAGTCCTCTGTGTAAGCCGCTGAGTTGTTCTGTTTGATTGCTGCCTAGAAAGGTAGACTTTGACCCCTAGGTGATACGTTGGGAATAAATGTACCATGAAATTTCAGGTGTACAAATATATCTAGAGAATGTATTCTTGTCATATACATCTAATATATTGGTTTCATTTAGTAGTCGAATTTACTTATCGAAACGCCATTCGTTGTAATAATAAGATTGAGACATGTACTCGATGTTTTTAAAAAAGTCGTACACATTTCAGTTTCATGTAAACATGAATTATAGGAGTAATTTTTTATCCTGTTATTTTTTCTTTACACTTTGTTTTCAAAAAGTACGCTGTTATATGTGGGCTGGAGATAAATTATCGAAATTTAATTTATCTATGTTAGATATTGGGAAGAATGTAATCTATGTAAGTTAAAGTTTTCTAATGTTAGTGATATCGTCTCTTTTTTCCACTTCCTCGTGGGTTCTTGATATAGTGCATCTGTGTTGTGTTTTGGAGAACCTTATTAATGCTTATTTCAAGGTCTTGCCTAATTAAAGTAAATCATTTGATGCTTTTGTTAATCTGGACCGAGTGAGATTGTGTGTGTGTTGCTTAATTCCCTGCCTTGAGGAACTGTCCAGAAATCCGGAGTAAAAATTCATCAAAATAATCTATTTGTAAGTTTGCTTTACTCGAGTTTTCAAAGTTTTTAACTCAATATGGACTTTAAGCTTGTGATTTTGCAGGACATTAGTTAGCCTGTTTAGAATTCGGTTACGCGTACGCTAATTTAGATACCAGAATATTGAAGTTATTGTATTCGTTTCCCACCGCGAAGTCAATTTTCTCGCGTCCTTAAGTAAAGCATTCCAACAAATATGGTGCTTGGTATTTGTGTGACTGAATCATCTATATATCTGGAGTAAGATTTTATCTCTTCGATTACAAACTTCAGTTTTTTCGTCTTTGGATGAACCATACTTATATCTGCCATTACAGTATCCTGTGGACTGTTCATGTCTAATTTGTCAGTTTGGCGCTACAGTGTTTTCGAAGTGGAATTGATCATTCTTTGCACACATATGTAAGTGTTGCCTGAGTTGTGATGTTGACTAAGAAAGTAAACACATATACGTACATATAATGTCTATAGTTCTTATTAAGGTGTGTTCATGACCGAGGAAAAAGGTCGACTGGGCTGAGATTTGTTGAAAAGAACCATACTTAATACTTTGATATTCAGGTCAATATTATTCTTAGACACTTAAAATATAAGAATGATATGGAGTCACTCATAGTACAAATCTTTCTTGTATTCAGCTTAGGACAAAAAGTGGAATAACATTGAGGTTACTTCCATTTAGAGGATATTCGTACCAGGAATATGCGATAAATAAGCATCTGATGATGAAAGGCAAGAAGAGAGGTTATAAACTTTATATTGTTAAAAACACGTTCCTTTAAATTGTAAACGGAAACTATAAATGTTAAATAGCATTGTAATTTGTACTAATTGACTGCCAATATACTTCTGTTTGTACTTTCTTAAATTCCCATCGTTTTTGTTTCATCCCCTATACGTCCGATATTTTTATCGGATGAAATATGTGTTCATTTTCTATTTCGTGTTTTCATAACTTTTATACCACGTAGAAATATAATTTTTGTCTACATCATTTAACGTATAATCAGTATATTTTACTTCTTTTACCATCTTTTTTTGAAGGCTGTTGAACGACAAAGCGTTTCCTCGGACTATATCGTGCTAGCATGTATTGCAACATTTCTACTGCCTTTTATCGCTGTCATTTTTCATTCCACTAATTCAATAGACGCTTCTGGTATTTTGACCATTTCATCATCAAGTGTACAAAGTAATGAGGAGCTGAAATCAACCTTTATAACAGAGAATACACAGTTATTTCTTGAGAACAATTCTGTAAATCAAACATTATTTACTAATTTATTCGACTCTGCCAATTCTGTTTTCGGCAATACTGTGATAGGCTTGTATTTACGCGCCATAATAAGTATTTTTACCCATCTTTTGGGTACTGTTTTGTTGAAAATGCAGAGTTTAGTAATTGGTGTTGATGTACAAGCTTCCAACTGTTCCCAACCTTACTGCATAATATTCTGGAATATTGTGACTGGTCAGTTTCTAATGAACTGGTTTTCGAAACCAGATATACAGTAAGCATTACTATCTTTTTTCTACACAGCTTTACATATTTCGTGTAAACTATTTTACCCGTCTTACTAGTTGAACTGTGAAAGAGAGATCATGAAGTTATATTTGCAGATTGTTACATAAGAGTGGTGAAGTGATTTACAAACTTTCTACATGAATCAACAGTTCCTAGGGAGAAGTTTTCGTGTCATTGAAACATTGATGAGATTGCTGATAATTTTAATTAATCGCTGTTGTACTCACAATATTTTTCGGAAATCTCTGTAATCTTACTTTGTGTCGTTTTGAATGACAGTCGTTTCATTATTAAGCTTGACATAACATTTTGAATCAGGCAAATTTCTTTTTGTAGTAATTTACGTGATCCTTTTCAAAGTCAAAATCGTTCAGACACCCTGAAAAAGTTACTTATTGTTCATTTAAGCATATCATGTAACTCATTGTTAGGTTTCTGAACTACACATTTTTATCGAAGTATATTTTTACACCAGTCTACTAAACATTCATGTTTTTTCTGACTTTATTATTCAGAGGACGTTTGGTTATATTAATTGGATTCATACTGAGGTTCAATGTTTACGGGACTATATTCTTCCTTCTTTGTATTGCTGAGCGCACATTTCAAGAGGTAAATCATTTTTTTATAATGTATGTAGGTGTATTTTTATCTAGGCGTACAAATAAAACTTTAACAGTCACTCATTATCTGATCCTCTAATTTTTAGCGGTTGCTTTATGCGAAGTACTTCTTCTCCTTAACATCTGGACGTCGCGCTCTGAAATATCGTGTACCACAGTTTCGTCTAAATAAAATTGGCCACATCAAGTGTTGGCTGATGCTTCGATCGTATTTAAAAAAGCGTGGCCCACAACGTTCAGTTGAGAATATTATGGCAACAGCATTTTATATTGTCTTCACACTCGGTCTCAGTTTATGTGCCCAGGTGAATGTACTTCGTTAATCTTTTATTATATTTGTATCACAATAAGTTAATTGCAGTCCAATGTGTTGCTGGTGATGTTTACTTTCTTGTGTGTCATTCGGGTGATTCTAGCGTTGTTGTCGTCCTGGGTTGCCAGCCAGCGTAAAATTGCAAACAAGGGAAAAACTCACTCATGATATCATGCAAAATAGAGCTCACAACTACCTGGTCTCCTGAGAAGCACGTTGCTTTTAAGACAGTAGAATGAGACCTTTTGTTTGTACTATTGTTTTCCGAGATCACGTGTTGGTATTTTGCAATAAGCATTGCCTCTATTTTATGCATCTGTCACCTTTCAAAAGGCCTGTACAGTCTTTCAGAATATGATCTGCTATAGAGCAGGGTTGAGTAGAGGGATTCACGAGATTATATTTCCCTAACCAATTATTAAAAGTAATGCTTTTATCTCGTTCCCATGGAAGTATCGGCGATTCCATTTCACCAGTCCAAGTTGAAATATTATTGCTCTTTAGCAGATTCACTGTTTGTTCATTTTTAGTAGCCAAGATCATGCAACACAATGTATCCCGTGATAGGGAAGTGGCTAAGTGAATCATGAATGTAAACCTTGGGTAACAGAAAAACGGTTTTTAAGGGTTTTTATAGTGAAATTATTCATTTTCCATGCACCGTGAAACCACTACATGAGGTTAGATGTTAGGTTTCGTTAAATGAGGTGAGTCAGTTAATAAAGCTGACTGACTGCTCTTATTTATGGTGTGCTTCAGCATTACATCACTACTGAGATAAGCATTTTTGTACGCAACTTCAGTTCCCAGCAATTTTTGTGTAAGTATATAATGTATTTGCAAATATTGGCTGTTGTTTTGGCAGCTCTTCATGATAAAATATAGATGTTTTACTGGGGGTTCAGATTGGTTTTAATAAGTTAAATTCTTACACTCATGTAATATATGTAAATTTTCTATTTCAATTAACTTGTTGTTTCTATCCACTCTGTAAGTTGCTTTGAAAACATTCTGTATTAATCGGCGAACTAGTTGTAGGCTGATAATATGTCATCCTACCGACATTCACTGCCTGCATATGATTGTCAGACTTGCATATCAGAAAAATGAAACTGAATATGCTGGATGGGACGTTAGTTCGTTGATATCTCACATACTAAAAAGGTCTGTCGAACAGTGGTACAACTAAAAGCAACTGTCGCAGTGTGACGTCATACTTCTTACTGAACCGAAGTGTGGTCGCATGGAGATGTTTACCCAAACGATTACCACTCTAACTATGTACGTTTTCTTTTTATTAAGCCCTATAAACTAGCATTATGTGATGTCCTGCGGTTTTCTGTCATTGACAGCAAGGTTAACTTTATAGTCGAATTTTAGCAGCGTTAAGATGTATTCTCTTTTTACTTATTTTATTATGGTAATTTTGAGTGTTATATTGTATTCTCTTCAATTTGCACCCTCCCCTCTAGTGTTTATGAATGGTTTAGATATATATGCTTTATCAGTCAGATGGAATTAGGCAATCGTCTACTTCGACTGTGAAATGAATGAATGTTCTGTGAAGGCTGAACGAAGTCTGCTTGATATATCTATTGGATTTTTTTGAACTGGAATCCCTAAAAAGGATTTATTTTAATTGTGTTTTGGCATATTGTCTTTTCAGCTCCTTTCAAAAAGTCGGGGAAGTGTTTTTGTCAAGCTAACAAATTGGGATATTTTGGGCCTTACATTTGGGATTGTAATTTTTCTGTATCGTTTTATCTTGCTTGGTACGAAGATCACAAAAAAATACCGTAATTTCTCAGTGCTAATTACTGAGCAAGTGAGTTGCCTGTCTTTCTATGCACAGTTTTTATATTATCTAGTTTCATTGTCATTAAGTGCTAAGAATATCATAGTCATAAGTCACAATTCAAGCAACTATGCTTTTTTGTAAACTCATTGACTAAGGCACAAGAAGACATGTTTAGCAATTGTATGGTAGAAGGTTGACTGCTTACCTTTCTTACATGTGTCATTTTATCACCGGCAATATAGATAAATTAGATGATCTACGTGTAATAAAGCTAAATGAATAGGAAAAAAAAAGATTATCCTGTATTTTGCTCTTTTCATTACAATTGTGTTTATCAGGTGTCAGTCTAGTACGTTTTAGTGAAGACTATTATTACATTATATTATTATTTGTCGTTCGGGTTCCTAGTGGAACATAGGGCTTCAGTAGCACGTCGCCATTTCACTCTGTTCTCTACAGTTTTCTGAACCTGGTTACGTGACTACCCACAAGCTTTCATTTCCTCCTTACATGATCTCCTCCATGTCGCCATCTGACGCCCGACTCGTTGTTTCCCATTTGGCTTCCACCAGACGGCCTGATCTGATGCGTGATGTCCCTAAATGGTCTTCTCAGTGTATGCACGATCCATCTTCACTTCCTTCTCGGTTGGTTCGTTGCCTGGCCACAGTGAATTCCTTGTTGCTTATTCTTATCATTCTGGCCATCTGATCTTCAGTATCGAGTGAGTGTAGGCGGGAGCTGTTGATGAATGTCTGTAGTTTGTTGAAAATGCTTTTCGTGATGCGCCAAGTTTCTGTACCATATAGAAGCACTGACTTGACATTGTTGTTGAAGATCCGGATCTTTTTCTATATGACGAGTGCAGTGGATCTCCACAGTGGTTTCAGAATAATAAAAATCTGTTTTGTTTTTCCGATCCTGGCTGCTTTGACGTCCTCACCTGTGCCTGTGTCGCCTGTAGTCGAAACGATGCTGCCTAGGTGGGTGAAATAGGCTACTTCCTTTACATTTCTCCCGTTGATGGTGATTGGTGCTTGTTGTTGGTGTTGGTGGTTGGGTATCTTCATCACCTCTGTCTTCTCTACATTCACTTGAAGTCCCGTCTTCGCTGCCTGCCCTGCCTCTTCTGTCAACTTGTTAGTTTTCGCCTGTAGATCTTCAAGTTTGTGCGACATTAGACGTAAATCATCATTGGCGAAATCCAAGTCTCTAGGCTTTTTTCATCGGTCCAGCATATCCCCCCTCTTCTCGCTCCTCACAGTTTGTTGCATAATCCAGTGTAGTCTACCACAAGCAGGATGATCATCGGTGATAGTAGGCAACCTTGTCTTACTCCTGTCTTCAATTCAAAGGCATCACTGAGCTTTCCATTGTGAAGATGCATGGCAGATATTTCAAAGGGAAAGAAAATTGCCAGCAAAAACGTTTTTTGAAAAATAATTTAGAACTAAAATATTCTAGTCACCATAAAGTGGTTACATCATCGGGGATTTCTGTCCCTTGCATTTCGAAGATACGTCTAACATTACCATTAGGATATACTACGAAGATGAATCTATAATAACTGCATCCAATGAATCCATTTACTTCACTAGACTTTTATAAGATGTTAACTACTGTGTCACTTCACGTTGAGTTTATAAATTTAGGTGTGTATATGTTCACATGCATTCATGTAAGAGTCGTCGATTCTTGAATTCATAGTTCTTGGAGCATATCCTTGATTAGCTTTAAAATCTGAGGGTTATTTGTTCTCTGCAAACCTTCAGGCTCAAAATATTTGTCGGTTAGTACTTATATCAGACCCGTTATTACTGTGTAATAGACCAAAATACCTGTGTCGGAAGTAATAAAAAGCTTTCTCGGTGGTTTTCTTTCTAGTTCTACTTCCTAAGTTTTGAAATAAAATAACCGGCGGTTGAAACCATATTATTACATTGATGCTTCTGTAACAGCTACATATTGCCTTCAGGTCGATCATGTTTGAAGTTACTTACTGTTTCTTGTTTCTGTTTTACTGGGGCCGTAAACAGTCGTTATGGTTTATCTAAATTTGGTAAGAGCTGTAAGATTAACGTCACCGTCCCATTTGAGTTGCAGCTTGTCACTGGATAACTAAAAGGTAGCTGGGTGAATGTGAAATCACTTGTTCTAATGTTCTACCTATCGTAATTTGTGTTACAGAGATGCTTTTCTCATCAGTATCCCCACCGAGCGCGACATTTTCACCACAGTTCCCTGAATATATGCATTAAGCCTGCCATCTACTGTTAACACTTACTATTTCTGTTTGTGAAGTAATGGCTGATCATATTATCTTGTCTCTTTTCAATAAGACAACAGTGAAAACTCTATCTTATTCAGAAGTCAGTAGGTTTTGAATATCTGCTTAGATGACATCTTTCATTAAAGAATTGGTCTCACTTCGTTTTCTTACATATTATACATTATTGTTTTTCCACTATGGATAAACACTTATTACTGAAATATCTACTGTTGTTTATTTGTATTTTAGATCAATTTATATTTGAGTATGGAATCTAAACCTCATAAAAAAGAAGATTTAATGCTGACATTTCAAGTTTTACGCTTAGTTGAAAGTTTGTTGAAAGAAGTTGATGGTCCTTTTCGGGTTTGTGGTTGGACTTTGAACCCATTGGTGTACAATATCTTTAAATTAGTTTTACTATCATGCGTTTCATCTCTACTGTCAGAATCATTGGGCTTTAAATTAAAGTTATATAAATTAAAATTAAATCCATCCAATTGGTAGACAAGATTATGGCTTGAAGCTCATTGAAAACTCATCTTGAAGGATGGAAAAAGACAAATAAAATACTTAGTTATTTTTATTACCTCTTAAATATTAGTAAATAGCAATACAGTGTCATACATGTCCATCATATTTCTTTGTTATTCATTCATCTTTTGAAATTTTTATTCAGATATAATCACAACGACCAACTTGGAGTTTAATTTCTTTCGGTGACAGTTTACCCACCTTCATACTATCTAATTATTAGGTTATTCATCTTCATCTTTTCAGTCTCATCTTATTTACTATCATGTAAATCGTTACATTTTTAATAGGTGGTTGCTACTGTTCACCACTTCGATTCCTAACATCTTCTTACTAATGCATTCATATACATAGTTACGTTTGTGTTAATGTGTACAGGCCTTTGTTTCCCATTGGATGGATGTGGTTGACCCAGCCGATCCAGTTGTTTGTTGCACATAACTCCCGGTAAGAAAGAAGTGAAACAGCAAATATAAACTTCAAAATTATTTTCTAGAATTTGCCTTGAGATGAAATGGTTTATGTTGTGTTATATATAACGTCATATTATGCAGTCGAACGTGTATATTAGTCATTTCATCAATGCAATTTTTGCTTTCATTTATTCTCTTTTGTGTGATTTGAATTCTTCTACAGTGAATATTGTGATACAAGTGTAACAAAATGGTTTTTGCTTGTTATTTCTAATTCGCTCATAGTTGTTATTTCATAGTCAAATTCATACAGAATTATATGAATAGTTTTGAAAATGTTAACCTTAGCCTTTGTTTATTGATCAATATTTCTGGAGGTTGAAGAAGACATTCTGTAACTTTCAGTTTACGGGCTGACAGGTAGAATATATCTTCTACTACTATTTGCCAAGTAAACAGTAAGATTGTGGAGAAATGTTATTGGAAAATGTTTCAAAGAATAATCTCAATTCTAGTCATGGTAGAACTTATACGTTCCTTCCAAAGTTGTTCGTTTATTTTCCGAAATTCTTTTTCTTCGCTGTCAATATTATTTAAATATCAATCAATACACAGTTGATTAGTTTGCATTTTTGTCCTTACAACTGTCGTCATTCACTAGTAGCTTTTAACAAAACACCCCGTAATTCTCCTTTGTGAAGTGAAATTTTATCTTGTATACCAAGGTCAACTAGTTTCTGTTACTTTTAATAATTTCTAATCACGAAATACAATACATTTACTTGGCTTACTCGTCTTCGCTGTCTATGGGTGCGAAAATTCCAAGGTATACGTACCAATTTCTCTTCATGTTGATAGACTTGACACTTTAAACATGAGTTTAATGGACTAGTCATCTTACGTTGAAGTGAAAGCTGCTAGCTTCATACTCTCTGATAAAGTTTACTCGGATAAACTCTACTGAGTTCACACTGCAACAAGGTGCTTCGTTGTTTACTCGTTAAGCTAAAAGCTATCATCTTATTGTAAATGGATTACACTGTTATAAGTATCCGAATTGTGATGGCAAGCAACCAACATCCCCACTCAAAGGAAAATTAAGAAAAGGTTAACCTAAAATACCAGACGCTTCACAATTACTCCATGAATTTGTCTCTGGTGGTAACGTAAAAGTTACTTTATACGGAGTTCAAAAGTAGAAATAGCAGATTTGAGTTAGTGAGTCAGGTATTTATCTAAATATGACAGCGATTCTTATCATGATGTAGTCTAGAGTAGTATATGTTTTCCGTCATAGTAGTGGAAAACAATCAGTAACTTGAAAAATCGGACGTGGGTAAAAGCTAGTTGTTCAATGCACCTTAATCCAAGCTGATTTCTGAGAGAAAACCACTATATGTAGCCGTGATCACTTTGGTGTCTGATTGGTTTGTAGTCATCAAATGGCGAGTAGTGCAGACGGTTTTCAGCGAAACGTTCATAAGCATGATAGTTAACACTTACGCTTTGTTCAGAGTGAGTTGTTCTCTAATTAAACGTTTCATTGTCATGTCAGACGTCCTCGCCAGTGCATCAGACCTTTACAAGGGAGTAGGGTAATTGGTTCTGCATGGATATTCATAACGCCATAAATGTCTATGTAAACCAATTATTTCACCCCCTTATGAGGCTGGGGTGATGTCTAACATGACATTGAAACGTTTACCAACTAGAATCCTAGCTCAAAGAGAAATTCACTGAGCACCCACACCTTGAGCCGCAAATATTCGCCATAGTTAGTTTAAAGGAGCTTCTGTATATAGTATGAGAATTAAAAGTGTTTTCTTCTAACTGAATTGTGTAACATAGTTGATCCCAGTCTTGCCAAGAAAATAAAGTTTACCAAGGTAGGCATAGTGTAAGAACAAATTGTGGTTTAACTCCCTCTAAGTTTACAAAAACCGGATTGTAATTGGTGACCGTCATGGATTGCAAGTTTATGAATTAGGCTATTCCATTTGCTTGTATTCGCGAAGTGACTGATTCATTTTCTTCCTGCCATCAAAAGAATATAAGTTCTCACGTTTAGAGGACTGACAAAATATATTCGTTTTGTTAACCGATAACTGACGCCCTGGTACCTATGCTGCCAAGGTCTTTGCAGAGCAAACTAATGAATGAATGATCGGAATACGTTTTCTTGTCGTAAATGCATGCAGTCGTCGAAGAATATTCTTTATGATACTTGGACTGTAGAAGAGCGATTCCACTTTAGCCTGTTTATTAGAAATGTCGCCCATTGAAACTACTATTTACTGGACAACGTTTCGGACGTGACTTATTGTCCATATTCATATCGCCTGACGTGAATGTGTAACACTTCTTATTAGCAGACTGAAATGGATCTGCGATATACCGCAGTGCCCAAGTTTTACTCCCTTTATGTAGAAGAGCAAAGTAACTTGCTATCGGGATTTATCTGGGTTGCAGATCAGTTATTTCTCTTAACGATAACGAACTTTATAAAAACAAAGGTCTACTCTCATGCGTTTCGCCGAGAGTAATTGCCATTTGAAATCCTGTAGCGAGGACTAGATACTGAACATACCTCTATTTTTATCCTGCGAAATGGATGCAGACTACAGGGGTTTTAATTATATAAAGTCGTTTTCAAGTTGGTGTTCAGTAGTTCACGATTTATTCGCGTGTCACAGGTAGGTTGCTGCGATCTTGAAAAAATGGAATTCAAGAGTTGAGGTGCCTATTGTCGATAGCAAGTGGTTATCAGCAATCCAGTGATTAATCAAAATATATTTCATGGGTTATTTCAAAGGAATGTGTGCTGAAATTCAATACCAAATTGTATAGGTACTTCTGATCGGTTGACTTCGCATCACCAGAAATCCTATCGTCTACTTTCACGTCACAGTAGCGAAATGCGAGTACAGTACTTATCCATCTAGAATCAAACAGTTATGTAATGGTAACACTTCTAAACCGGTAGGTTTATGCAAAAAAACAATTCAACTTGTTTGAATTATTCAGAAAAGTTTTATTTTACAATACTGTGATAAAATGATGTGGTTTTGTCAGTTTATTGGCAAACCCTTTACAACCAAGGCATCTAGGCGGTTGGATTATGATGAGGGAAAAGAAATAACTCGTTATGTGACAAGAAAATAAGATATAATTCAGTTGCGATGGCCTACTTCATCCCTATTATGTGTAGTGCATTGTTACATTATATGAAGGATGAGCAGTGTGTTAAACAACAGATGAGTACAAATTGTTTACGTCAGCTGTCAAAACAGTACGCTATTTGGATTCGACAAAATGTTTCTCTCCGAAGGACTAGGTGTATTGCAGTGAAGAACAAATATAATGAACATTTTTGGCAGAACAATAACCCTATAGAATCAGGGGGTTTCATCAATATTTAACGGTAGTCAGTTAATATATAAGACTATTGAAGCCTCGAGAAGCATAAACTCCGGTAAACACTCCGAGTATCAGAAAGAATCCGCCGAACATTCCACCCAAAGGGGCTCGGTCAGGTGGACAACATCTAAAATGCAAATATGTTGTGTAAACTGAAATGGATTATAATATAATGACTCAGTTTAGATAATAACTGAAAAAATGTGGTCAGCCAAGTTAGGTGAAAGCTTTTCTTTATCCAAAAATTATTCGTAGTTTATCTTTAAAAACGTCTACGGCAGAGGTTCACGCGGTATTTGAGGTGTTTCACGCGTACAAGCTGATTCTATGAGTAAATGGTGAAGATATAACCTTGATTAAAAAGAAGAGATAAAACATCGAAAATTCGGGACATTTTTGTCTGATCGACCAAGATTTGTTTCTCCCCATTAATTTTTATTGTATTCTGAGTCTACCTGATTGTCTAGGTGGCTAGAGTGTGGTTTGAACCAGGGTCTCACTGGTTGGAAATCATATTTTTGAGCCAGTGGACTTCACGCTAGCGAAATGCTACAGTAAGCATAAAGTATCAAGGTGATGATACAAGTGAATAACGTTTATCATACCTGCTTCACCTTAATTAGAATTCCTCATAATGAGAAATGAAGGCTAAATTATTTGTTAGCTCCATAAATAATGACTATGACTTCACACTGCGTTTCATAAATATTGTTCGCATAAATTCTGTCCTCTCATTTTGATAAAGTACATGTAGCCTTTTTAATCAAGAAGAATGAAAGAAATCGTACGGAGAAGAATGAAATCTTTTCATCAGCAACGAAAAATCTACAACGAGTATTAGGGTCTACTAAAAGATTGAATGACATTCTTTCATTATTTTAGAGATTATAGTTTATCAAATGAGCAATCTAAAAATATTCAACCATATATCTAAACAGCTGAACAAATGGTCAGTGATCAGGTGAAATTTACGGTGGTGGGTTTGGAGTCGAAATCATGTTAACATCACACTCGGACGTTGTTGAAAAGCTACTCATCCATAAGAAATCTCAACATAAACTGTAAAGAATTTGCAAAACAACACATTTACATTATATACATGTCATAGTGAAGATAATACCCATTTGTATAACGATTCTCATTTAGTGAAAAATGTTATGAGGTCACAGATTATATATAGGTAAAGGACTACTTATGCAAACAAGACATTAAAGTTGCAAGCGAATCAGATAGTTAGTGAAAATGTGGTAAAAACCTAAAGAATCGAATTATCCCTCATTTTATTACAGTTTCAAATCAGACTTTAACCTTGGATTTGGAGTTCATGCTCGAAGTGTTGAAGAATAGTCTGTCAGTGTCTCAATAGTACCTTTTATTCTGCTAGACAGACTGATACTTTCTAGCCGTCGTTTGATTTGACAATGCACGAAAAGTAGGCTGTCGATTATGTCCACATCTACGCGTATCTACAAATCTGCGTTCTCTTGTGGAGCCAAATATATTAGGCGTTGTAAGCGGGCTCTCCAAAAACGCTGTCGGGTTTACCAAAGTCAACGAAGAAAAATAACATCCACATATGAACACCTAATGGAGTAGGCAATCCTGCTCTTCAAGATTCATCCTTGAAGGTAATATACAAAGTCAAAATGAACTACTCAAAAGGCCTACGTTTCTACCAGTTAGGCATAGCTGAAGCATTAGTTATACATGAACAAGAAACTAAAACTTTGCATTTAAAAACGTTCTGTGAAACCACTTTCTTTATCTTCATTTTGGTTATTTTGTCAATTTCACTTCACTTTGTATACTTCAGTTCAATTATCATCATTTTATACTTCACTGGTAGCATTTAACCCATATTTCACAACATAAAATCAATTCGTTTCTTATTCAGTGACCTATTTTTATATTCTTTAATTTAATTTCAACGTTTCACACTTCTGTGACAGCGTTTGACCCTTATTTCACCATTTGATATCATTTCGTTCTTTATTCAGTGACTCATTTTCTATTTCTTCAATATGAACACAACCCACCACCAACACCAATTGTGTCATATGTATATTGACTGAGCAACATTTAATGCGTTTATCTGACATTGTATCGATTATAAGTACGACTGATAAAAAAGTTGTTGAAAAGAAATATTTCCTCGATGATATAGATCTTGTCTTTCTGAATCATGAATAAATGGATATATTTCGTCAGTTGAAAAACTAGTTATCTGATGTATACCGTTATAAATCAACATAGATGTCAATTCATCGCTGAAGATTTGTGATTTCGATTTCCTACTTCAATCATCCTTTTTTCAAGACCGATTCAGCAAAATTACTTATCATAAATTTCAGTGATGAATGTGTGGACTTTCCGTTAGCTCTGCTCTATCTCTCGAATTGTTGAAGTGGAACCGGTTGTTTCGACCCGCTGTCAAAACAAAAACTATTAATTTGGATATCGTAATTAGAAGACGTAGGTAATCTGAAGAATGTGATTTATATGGTGTACAACTTGGGCACCGTGGTAGAATTTAATTCCATATTAGATTTGTTTATTTGATTTACAATACACAGTTATATGGTATTATTTACTTGATAGGTGTTGCGTCACCCAAAACATGCATATATGTGTTGGGTGAAGCAACACCCACACCTAATAAAAACAGATCATATGAGGTGACGTAACTATGAAAATCAGATGTCGAGAGTTGTGTGGTTACATTGATACAATTATGAGCAATAATTTATCCTCGAAACGTCATCAAGTAAATAATACTATATCACTGTGTATTATAAATCAAACAAACAACTCTAATATGGAATGAAGAATGTGATGTATTTACGCCAGACATTCCGAACAACCTGATCACACACTTATTAAAGCATTTTATGTGAAAACTGGAAGTGGAAAATGACAGATATGACAAGGAATTTAATAATAAACATAATGAAGGAAGTATGATAAAACTGGAAGACAACCTTGGTAATGTGATAAGATGAGTATTACTGGGGTAGTTTTAGCGTAAGGATAAACTGTTTTTGAACATACAACGCGGGCTTAAATTTGTTTATGGCTAGAGCTTCAACAAACCTAAGTATACGCGTCTGACAGTTTCTATACAAAATTGTTTTGATATCTATCCTGTGACCTTTATAAATGTTTTGCAATAGATGATGATGGTTGTCTGCCACCTACACTTATCGGGGTCTGTGAATCCATTTACTTTTTAGGTTTTGGTAAGTGTTCCACCACCCTCATCTTTCTTATGTATGTGTGTCAGTATGTACTTATAAATTGAAAAAAACTTTTATATTGATCGTTTCCTTTATATCTAAGATCATAAACAGTGCAGCACCTTAGGCTGACATAATCCAGATTTCAGGCAAATTTCAAATTGTGAGGTGACAACTTCCTCTTACTGTATAACTGATTTCTTGTGATTAGTCAGTTATGAACACTCGTCGATCTTTAGGCAACATTATGTCTAGAGGTTTTCTACAAACATTGGTGAAACTTGGATTTTGGTCCTGATTACCACAAAATTGGTTTCAGATAGTCCCAAATTAATTTACTGTTCAATGTATCTTCAGAAGTTTATGAGGATCTTCGCTTTTTTTTACTTAGTTGTGGCTAGCAGAGGAATCCAGGACGCGCGTTTTTAAAAATATGTATATATATATACATAGTAGCTTACATTTTAAAATGTATTCATTTGAAATTGGCTGCTCATAGTTTATAACATTCTATAAATGTTGACTGTATACAGCAAAATCTTACAAATATCTGTAAACATTTCATAATGAACGTTATAGTGTTGTACATCGGAGTGATGTTTTCTTTTTTAAATCAGAGTTTGACCTTTAAAATTGTTGCTATCATTTGACTCATTCTGTGGCCTACTGTCTGGCTGTTGTTTTACTTGATAGATTTTCAGCTGACTGAGCTTTCTTTAGTAGTGGGTCAACGTCCACATGTTTTTTGATTGTCATCTGATTAGAGTGTCATGCTTCTAGGGTCTCTTTAGCAGTTTCTTAGCTTGCTTGCTGTAGTATTTCCACGCTGTCCCGAAATAAAATTGTGGTTGTTTTCATCTACATATACTGCAACCAGTGGAGAAATATCACTTCGTTTGACTGTGAGTTGGTGCTCATAAATTCTTTGGTCTATTAGACGATCTGATTAGCCAGCATTACGGTGTTGACAGTCCTCGCAACTAATTTTGTAGACTGTATTCGTCTCGTCTTTGAGTAATGAATCTCTTAGACGGTATAAAATATTCTTCAGGGTGAGGTTAAAAGCTATCCCTAGGTGTTATAATGTTTTGTGTGGAATTATGTATTTTCTACGTGTATATTTTGAAGTGGAAACTGCGATCATAAATCCTTTTTGCTGAAGTTCGAAGGCTCAATTATTTGTGAGCACGATTCTTCATAAATAAATGTACCTATATTCCAACTATAGGTGAACGTGCAACCAATACTTTGCACAAAAATAAACTGCATGAAACATGTTTCAGTGAGAGAGGACGTTTTAAAAAATTTAAAATAGGTAAAATATGCACACAGAAAATACACGAATTTGCTCACAGAACGCTATATCCCAAAACAAGCCCTGATACCACCTGGGGATAACCTTTCGCCTCACTCTGCGACTGTATGAACTAATTGGCTAATAGTTTCTGAGACATCTTTGTCATACGGTAAAGTGATTCGTTTTGAAGGTTTAGACAACTGTCTTTATGAGATTTGTTTTGACACGTATTTCTTGATGAGGTTAATTGGATAGTCATTGGCTCCTAACACTGTTTAAAGATGGTTCTCTCCTGACTTCCGAAGTTGATGAGTGCTCTTATGATTCTTGGCACGTAGAAACAGTGCGTATGTATAGCTCTATCTATGAAAATTTGAGTTGTTGATGTTATAGTTCAAAATTCTATCTACTTGACACCTTTCTGTACACCTGGGTTTATTGCGTTCCATTATATTTTCTGAAGAGCAAGAACGTCCGGGAACGTAATCTAGATGTTTCTTTCTTTTTTTTCAAGTTGAAAGTCTACAAACGTTTCGTTGATGAGATTAGGCATGTTTTCTGATTCACTCACTTTCAGAATTACGAAATTGTTGCGGATATAAAGAATCCAAGTTTTCGGTTTTATTATTGAAACGAATATTGATTCTTAACTTTACATCAATGCTTAAACGATGAGTCCATGGGAGTTTCTATTATTAGTTATCAAAAAGGATACTCATTGTCTTTTGGTGAGATCTGCGTTGACTAGTGTGAAAAATGAGGGTACATAGGGCATCATTTTCTCATCGCTATCTATCTTGAGGTCTTTTATACTCTTCAGAAATTGATTTTCTAAATTGACTAGACGTTGAATTCCATTGACACGATGTTTTATTTTACTGTATAATTCCTTTGGTAAATTGTATGATGTTCCCTATGGTGACACTTGACTGCAATGGAATATCGGCTCTTTGAACATTTGGTCTACCGTAGAATCTAGGTAGAACTGGGTCACTTGTCTTCATTTCCCAATGCTCTTCTTTCGTGATGTGACCAGCTTTGACTAGATTGTTTAATTTCTTTCGAATTTAGTAGTATAGTTGCTGGTTGGAATTCTTGTCTACCGATCGGTTACTGCTTTTGCTGAGTATTTTTCGTACTTTTAATCACGTAGTCTGGTTTGCTCATGATAACAGTTTCCCTTCCTTTGTCTGCTAGTAGTATCACAATTTTCTTATCTAACACGAGTGAATTCAGTGCCTTCTTCTTCAGTAGAAGGTTCGTAGGGATTCTGTTGACTGCATATTGGTATTCATTACGGACTGAAATCAGTCGGAGAACCATTGGAAACCTGGAAGTACCGTGCAGCTGTTTCGTCCCAGCACTGGGAGTGTGGCACTAAGATGAAACGACCATCTGGTGCTCCAAGGTTCTCAATGGTTCTCCAGCTTTATTTCTTCTTGATTTTCATCAACGGCATATATATATATATATATATATATATATATATATATATATATATATATATATATATCATAGATTACTTGCGGAATGCGGTACATCATGAAACAGATTTCATTTTACTCGGAAAACCTTATTATTTGCGTCTTGCAAATGATTACCAGTTATGCGTATATTTCTTTGTATTTTCTAAAGTCACATGTTATTCCTAACCGAAATGTGGATTTTTATACTTCTCATTCACCCTACAACTCTTATCACATTAGTTTTCTTATCAGTTATCTAGCCATTAGATCGTATGATGAATATTATTGATTGAAACTAATTGTGATCAAAATAAACGAAGGTTGTTGATAATTCATGTCATTCAACAATGAAAGCTAATTAAACTTGAACCGTTTAGGTATATTACGCTGGTATTGTTAGCTGGACTTAACTTAGGATAAAGTAAGCATCAACTGCTCACGCACCTAATTAAAATTGAAAATTAACTATTTTTGGCGTTTATGTAAGCCTTTGAGTCACCTATTCTGACCATATGCAATAGGTTACATTTTTTTAACCTAATTCAACTCGTCATACACAATGATTAATCCGTCACGGGAGAGCAACCAATTTCATGTTGTCTAGTCCTGAGTCCAGACCGAATTCTATCAATCATATTTACAATGTGGCCACCGAGATAGGAGGCTCAGCATCACGGTGCACATTAGTAGGTGTTGACTGGTTGGTGGCAGCCGGCAGGAAACCATGGATCTAGGTTTCGTGCTTGTTGGCACCCAGTCCCACAGGAGGTCAATCGTGGCCCGAATAGCTTCGAGGTAAAGTCGTTGACTACAACGCTGGGTGACATGGGTTCGAATCTCAGGCAGTATACCTCGGTATATTCCGTCGAGGTTGAAGACACGCCTTTCTGACAAGTGCCAACAAGCAAAAAGCCGAGATCCAGGGCTTCTTGCCGATTGCCTCCAACCAACTAACATCTACAATGATTAATCTTTCGCTTTATTAAATGTTAATACTACGGTCAAAAACGCAGTTAGCTCGTTTTGAAAGACATTTTACAAAAAAGAGTGATTCATCCTCGAATTGAGATTTATCTAGGCTGGAATTACAACAAAGAAAAGGAAATGAATATCAAAAACTACCGCTCCCTACTATTAGTGATCATACATACTAGTAGTGTCCAACAATAATGTGAACCATGCAAACTGAAAACTTTGACTGTCCTCAAGAAAACAACAGAATCATGAAGCAAGACAAGTTTACACAGTCTTAGATTTGCGCAGAATTCAGTAGAAACAGTTTCACTAACTTATGATGAATAGGAATTTAACTAAACAACAGTGAACTGTTTTATAAAGCTGGAGTTTAGCCATTTTCAAAATTGTCGTTTTATGGATATTTACCGAAACTTTTAGATTCACAGAGAAATAATTCTGTTCATAACTATACAATGAGTGGATCGTATAAAATGTCTCTAATTTTTATGTTAATAAACTCCAAAATAAGCAAGACAGGATTTCATTAGCCTTAAACCAGTGTGAAGATCTACTGCACTGCACTGAACTCAGCATAAAACGTGAACAAGAAACGGATTTTCAACACCAACGTCAAATCAGTGCTCCTATATGGTTCAGAGACTTGGCGCGTCGCGAAAAGCATTTCCAACAAACTACAGACATTCATCAACAACTGCCTACGCTGGCTCGTCACTGAAGCTCACACGGAGTGCCAGAAAGAATGAACAACAAGAAACTCTGGCCTGGCAACGAACCAACCAAGAAGTCATCGCTGAACAAATATGCAATGGAAGGAAGTGGTGATGGATTGGGCATACACTGAGAAGGTCGACTTGGGAAATCACGTGCCAGGCGAGGCACCCGAATGGAACCCCGAAGGGAAGCGACGAGTTTGGCGTCCGAGGTGAGGGTGACATGGAGGAGAAAGTGTGAGGAAGGAATAAGAGCTTGTGGGCAGTGGTAAAGCCAGGTCCAAAAGATTTTAGAGAACAGAGCGCATTGGAGACGTGCTAGTGAAGCCTTATGTTCCATTAGGAACCCAAGGAACAAATAATATAATAATAATAATAAAACTCCAAAATGAAACAAGTTGATATTAATCACTGCTAACGAACACAAAACATGTGTTGAAAAACGTCTAGTGCTAAAAACTATAATGAAGACAACCAGCAAGTAAGTTATAGGCAAACAATATTCAAATAACATTAACTGCTTACCTTGGTGCATACATTAAGCCAAGTGATGCAAGATATCCATTAGTAAATGAAAATATAATGCAACCTAATACATATATATGATCGTTTGTGATGAGAACAGGCAAATGAGGGTTTTCAATTGAGAAATTACATGATAAATAGAATGGGATGAAGAATAATGTCCGCAACCATACAGGAATCCATAGATAACGTGGTCCCGGCTATAATGAAGAATATTTTTTGTAAAGATGACTTAGAATGGAATAAATAGAACTTAATGGTCTAAAAAAAGTATTTTCGGTTTGTTAATAAACTCATAGATTATCGACAAAAATGAACTTTAACATTTCTCTCCGTAGATATTTTTGATATGCCTAACATTTTCTGTGATTCAACTTCAACTATCGTGTTGATATAAAAGGATAGTAATTATTGATAAGTTGGACTCAAAAATCGCAATCATATCTTCATTCATATCTGTGAAATATAATAAATGTTCGCGAGCCAATTAAGCTACTCAGAGTCTTCGTCTTAATTAAACAGAAGTAAGGTGGTATGACCGAGATTTACGTGGTTATATAGTGACAAACTGTGACAGTGATAGTGTTTCTTGCAGTTGCCTACATGCCAGGTGTATAAAATTTGCTAATGTTGGTAAAACTAATATAGTAAGAGCAGTTAATTGCAGATGTTTTGATTCGATAACCTGGTAAGCAAATTTCTGTAGTTCAGAATAACAGTGAAAGCAGTAGTATTCAACCAGCCACTGCAACACGTTACACTATTATTATCACTATTATTATATTAGCATAAACATACTGAGTAGTCAAATTTATTAGCACGGTAAACGCAATCATCATCGGAATAAATCGGCACACACCGAAAAGCACTTTTTATAAGGTTTGTGGATGCTACAATGACTCAAAGAAAGGAAGAGGCATAATAGATTAAGTAAAATTTAGATAATTATTATGTCTATCTTAAACGACAACTTAGACAGACAGTATTGTGTAAGCATTTTTACACCCTAGCAACTACTGAGATAACCAATTAAGTCTCTATATTTTATGAAAAAGTACCTTTCTAGTAGGAATACCAAAACCTGAGTGGTTATGGGAGTAGTTGCCAGAATGACCTCTAAAGTTGCCAGTATATCGTACCTTCCTGCTGAACGGTGATGAACAATTATGTATCACATATGTTCTTTATTTCTTATTCTACATAACTCTACCGTACATCTATAATCTGCTGTTTTTGTTACATGTTATTCCAAGTGAGACTTCAAGAACCACCCCAGCGACGATCGAAATAACCAGTTAGGTTTCTTCATTACGTCTGGAAAGGCATATTTTCATAAAATAGAGAAGTCTAATTGGTTATTTCAGATGTTGCTAGAATAGCCCTTAAAGTCACTCTATTCCGATGTATAAACGTATTAGTTAGAGTGACTTAAAAGACCACCTGGGCGCCTGCTAGAATAACCAACCGGGTTTCGATATTTCGGCTGAGAAAGTATTTTTCCATAAAATAAAAAAGTAGCTGGCTTTCTCAGTAATCATCAGAGTCGATTTAAAGTCACTAATTAGTTGTAAATCTGTACTAGTTGCTAGTGAATAAGCGGCAAACAGCTCGTATTGAATGGAGTGACTTTAAAAGTTATCGTAGCAGTGGTTTAAACAACCTTTTAAGCTTCTCTGCTTAGGTTGGAGGGGTAGAGTGTCATAAAATAAAGAGGCCTAATTGGTAATTGCGGTTGTTTTTAAGTTTGTCTTTAAAGTCACTCGTCAAATGGAAGTAGGTGATTCATTCATATATGTGTAAAAAAAATTGGCAACTAAAACTACATTCAGAGAATGAGGCGTACAGAAAGTGAGTTGCATGATTACTATTTACAGATATCAGCAACAAGCATTTGTAGAAGCCATGAAAAATTTATTTTTCATCAGTACAGTCCACATTACGATAGTATATACATTTTCTCAATCTTAGAGCCTATTCACAATCTTTCTTATTTGAAACACTATCATAGTGATTTTCAACACGCCAAATAACTCAAACAAACAATCATGACCTGTTTAAAACTGGTTTAAATCAAGCAGCTTGAATAATACATCAACAAAGACAAATTCGGTTTAAGAAGTAACCAGCGTTTAATAAATTTTGGTAAGATTCAGTGCTTTCTAAGTGCCCTGATCCACTTATTCTGCCTTTTTTCGTAACTTATTCAGTAAAAGTAAGCAAACATGTAAAAATATAAAAGGCAATAAGAATATCAAACACTAGGCATTAGGTTTCTCCATTTGTGTTTGAGATATTCTATCCATAAGATTAACTGTAATTACCGACAGCTTTTCGAAGTTACCATGTACAATATAAAGGTTATTTTCATGCACCCTTCACATTTCCCCCTCTAAATGATATTGTTTTACGATTGTTTATTGCCTATGATTTTAATTAAAGCAAATTGAGGAGAGGTTGTTACATCTTAATTGTGTACCTAAGCTTGTACATTTTACCGTCCACATGCTTCCTAAACATAATTTCCTTATCATTATATATAATGAGGTAGGTATTGATGAATTGGATACCATCAAGCTGCATTTGATGATGATGATGATGATGATAGTTAGCCTTTTTTCTGGAAAGAAAAAACACCGATGCAATGAAATCAATGATAGGATTAATACACAATCGACCTTGACATTTAGGTTATTTGATGTTGTAATTCACTGGTCAGTGATCTGTGAAAGAATATTATTGATTGAACTTTACTCCTTAGCAGATAATTTTTAGAAGTAGTTGGAAGAAAGGTCAAACAAGTAAACATGATAAAACTCTATTGTCACAATGGTGAATCTGTTCAATCTCAAGCGGAGATCAATTGGAGAAAGATAACGATATTAGCACAAACAAACAGAGAAGTAATAAATTATTGTGGAGGGAGTGAAAAAGCCGAAAATGAACAGTAGAGAAGAGCGAGGGGTTTACGGCAAATTAAATGTCAACAGATACGCCATAGCGTGATTATGGCCGAAGTTGCCGCTACATTACAACCATATCAGTTATCTCGTTGTGACGTTTGAGCTAACCGGTCTTAATTGTCCAGTAAAAATATGTTGTTCTAAAGGTTTGATTTTGCTCTGCTGAGGAAGTCATTTGCACAGCAACCATGTCGATTGCTGATGTCAGATATAAGTATAAGATTCTATTACGGAATGGATTGTGATTCATCAATAGTAAGATGTTTTCCAAGAATATCCGGAAGGTTGAAAAAAGTCCAGCAAAAACAGGCTGATAGTAAGCTTTTTATGGTCCAGCTGATAAGGTTCAAATCAGGTGCTTTCAAACAGACCGCAGGCAAACAATTCTTCAACTCGACCTGGACAATTCTCTTCGGTCAGACCTCTAAAATGTGGATATATTTATCTGTTTTTTCTTCTGAGACATAAATACAATAACAAATGTGCTTATCCATTTGACTCTATCTACTCAATGCAGCGTGTAAAAAGTTTACCTTTCTGATAAGTAACAATTCCTTTGTAAGTTTTCTATTATTCCAAGGATTTAGGGGTGAAGAGTAGGGCAAAGAGTGAACTTATCGATTGAATTTCAGTTGACAGGTGCACATATTTTGTACAACTGGATGATGCATCGTGACAAACAGAAAAATCAACGTCGAACCCGGCAAAGAAGCTCTTCCGATCAAGTTGCTGCAATTCATATTAGCATGTGAAGAACAAATGGATGGAGAAAGAGTGCTACTAAAGCAGACAAAAGGGTGTGGGGAAAAATGGTTTTAAAGAAATGAAGGTTAATGAAAATGTTCAGTCTGTAGGCGTCAAAGAGTGAATACATCTTTGCCATTGTAACCAACCTCTAGCCATGTGACTAAGAGTTGCAAGCCGTTAATTCTCATTATCCCGATGATCCTAGCCAGACAGTCAACACTTTTGTACGCGATTCACACCAACAGTCAAAGATCTAATGGACTGGTACCGCTTCTTGGTCATCCCAACCAAAGCCTTCTTCCAACTCAGTCGCACTTTAGCTAACATAACGCGTCGAGGTAGGTGGGTTTTTGACATATATAACACGTATCCAAGCCACTTCTGTAGGTGAAGATTCACATGTCTATTGGTTGACTTGCCTCCCATTGGCTTTTAGTCTTCGTCTAACCGCGACATTTCTTGCACGGTGATCCAATCACTCATCAGCAATGCTACAACAAAGCTTATAGTCAAAAACTTGTAGTCTCTTCATATCCGAGTCAACCGGATAGTTATAGATACACACTGGTTGACTGAGGTTTCACTGAATAATAATACGACTTTGGATACAAGGGTGTGACTGCATATTAAACAACTTTTTGATGCATCTACGATTTCAGTGTTTACCACATAATGAGTATCTTTGAAGTAGTAACTCAAGGAAAAAATAGTGGTGATTTCTTGCTACGCCTGTATTTTGAAGACCGTATTTTTTGAGATAGAAATGAATCTCAAATTTTAATCTAAAGGTATACACATAAAACCATACTGCTGAACAGAACTGACTAAGTCATACCTTTGAGCCTGACGAAAGGTTTCGAACTTTAAACTCGCGTTCGTCAGGAAAAACATGTATCTTAGCAACTTGATAGATACAGGGGAACCCTCTTTACCACTACTGAGTGCGAAGTGAGGTGAAAAGCCGATTTGCCCACTGGAAATCCACTATGTAACATAGTAGTACCAAAGTATCTGGAATTCCTAGCACTGATTATTCAGCATGAAACCTTCATGAACCTAGTACACTAAGGCATAACTTCCTATAGCAATAAAGTCCGCCTCATAAAATCGAGATAGACTCAGATTAATAATATTGTCAGAGGGTGGATTATGACCAGTGCGATGCACCAGTATGTGTAGTAGAGTTCAGCAGAAACTGAAAACATAATAATCGTGCTTCATACCATAATTGATATACCAGTAGGTTATATCATGTTTAGTGTTCTATGGTACTACTGTAAAGCCTTCAATAGTCCTAAGACTGAAAAACTAACACTTAATACTCAAACACTTATACATTTAGCATTCAAACCATCGAATCCCAACCTAGTTTGAATACCTATTACACAATACATTTTCAGGAGTTAATTAGACTATCTATATGTTGAATAAGTAGTAGCATTTTCAAATGAAAAATATAAAGACTATTCTGGTGACTTACGAATTGAATCCAGTTACATAAAATACAGCCAAGCATTGCAAACAGATTGAAAAATAGGAAACAAGTCACATCAACGAACCAGAGAGCTAGAAAATAGGATTTAAAGAAGATGGGTTACATGAAATTGTCTGAATGCCAAAAGCGGATGCGAGAAAAGAATAGAATGCAGTGAACTGCCGACAGTTTTTGTTGTATCCCAATTCTTAAGAAAAGGGAGCAACAAACAATCAATAATGAGCGGATTTATCCTCATAGCCTTTTGCCTTCTGTCGCTGGGATTCTCTTCAGGTCATCTATGCTTTTAAGACGTCATACAATTTTATGTGCATTTTGTCAAATATATAGTTATTCATTGTGGGCTACCGGAATACACCTGTCTCTGAATCAGCTGGTGTGACGGTAATGTTGGTAGAACCGTATCCACACAAGGTCAACCAACAGAATAGTGGCAGAGTAAACCAAATGAAGCCACAAATATTATCTGAAACTCCGTCGTCAGCTCAAAAACATAACAGTTTCCTGAATATTATTCTGCTTATCTTATTCACATATTGGTGGGATTGGAAAAATCATTTGTTGTGTAATCATTTTCACAATTCAGAGGATTTCAGTGGATTTTTCCTGCCCAGTAAAGTAACTTGCGCAACACTTTCAGGCTGATTTAAAATAAAAACGTACATCTGTGATTACCATATCAGATTTCGCACAGCGAGGAATCGGTGGAAAAGACCTTGAATGGTACGTCAGTGTAATGAAATGCAAGCAGATACAAATCTGTCATTCATTAAAAACCAATTAGACAGATTTGACAGTCGAAGTGAGATATTTATCAGGTCCAAACTCTAGTCTCTCTATCCAATCAGTGTCAAACAACTAACGTGGAGACCGATGTTTACATACAGCTTCATTCATACAGTTATCGATTTAATCCTATCACTGAATCCTGATTCACGCGCTAATTGGACTGTTTCTTGATGACATACATATACATATATATTTCCTATCAGGTATATTAATCTACTAATAGTGTTTAGCAGGGAAGGTGCTCCATCACAACTTCTTCAGTCCATTAAGTATTTCACTTCAAAAGTACTGTTTCTCAAAACGGAAAAACCAACCAGGACAAAGAAACAAACAGCACTGATAAAATCAAATTGATGACTAAATGTGTCACGATGTTGTTAATTTCTGCGTGTCACATGTTGAAATTATAGCCATAACATCTGTAAGTTGGTTGGAGGCAATCGGCAAGCAGCTCTGCTTTCTTGTTTGTCGGCACTCATCAGCAAGGCGTATCTGTAATATCGAGAGATATTACATCCTTTGTGAAATCGAACCCCGCGTCAACCAGTGTTGCATTTCGCGATGCTACCACTGAGCTATTCGGATCACGAATGACCCCCTGTAAGACTGGATTGCAAACATCGATTGATCACTGGAGAGCAAGCAATCTCATATTGTCTAGTGCTGAGTGCTGACAGAATTCTACCAGCCATCTTGCAAAAAACCACCCATATTCAGTAAAGTGCAACAAGGTTGTGAGCCTCCTAGATTGGTGGCATTGCATAATGATCGATAGAATTTGATCAGCACTCAGGACTAGACAATATGGAACCGATAGTACTTCAGTGACCAATCAGTGTAATTTGAAAACAGTAAAGGATGGTAACTTCCATCTAAGCACGATATATAATTTTTATGTAATGGTCGGCAGAATGTAGGAAATCTATCAATGGATTGTTCGGTGAGAATGATCGAAAAAGTCTTTCTAAGTTAGACCATCTTATGCCGATTAAGTAAAGCTAAATTGTTGTTATAAGCCACCTAAAAAACTGACGTCATAGTAATTTGGATATATAGAATCAAAGTGTATGTTACTAGCCACACTAACACTTACCGACTAGCCTATGAATTACACCTATTCTTTAAGAGTTTTTAGATAGCATATAAATGCCCGAGCCTCAGAAATGAGGTGGTCTTCAGAACTGTAAATAAGTGGTTAACGTTTGAGTGTCTATTCTCACGACAGCCAATGTTTACCGATAACTTTATGAAAGTAGGTGTTGACTAAAAGTAGTTTGAATCTATGAAAGATAAAAATTTCCCAAAATGTGCATAGAATAGACACCAGCGTTTGAATTCAAAGCCTAACGTCCATAGGTAAAAAGCAATTCACACTGATTTAAAGATAAAGCCGAAAACTAACTTTACATAAATATTCATATGTATGAACAGCTTACTAAATTTTGTTTACAGTCTACCTTTCTGACGATCGAAAGAAAGAGAAGGACAACGTCGTTATGCGTCTCATCATTCTTATTATTAGTCCCTTGGGTTCCTAGTGGAACATAAGGCTTCACTAGCACGTCTCCAGTGCACTCTGTTCTCTAAAATCTTTTGGACCTGGCTTAACCACTGCCACAAGCTCTTTTTCCTTCCTCACACTTTCTCCTCCATGTCACCCTCACCTCGGACGCCAAACTCGTCGCTTCCCTTAGGGGTTCCATTCGAGTGCCTCGCCTGGCATGTGATGTCCCCAGTCAGCCTTCTCAGTGTATGCCCAACCCATCACCACTTCCTTCCATTGCATATTTGCTCAGCGATGGGTTCTGGGTTGGTTCGTTACCAGGCCAGAGTTCCTTGTTGCTTATTCTTTCTGGCACTCCATGTGAGCTTCAGTGACGAGCCAGCGTAGGTAGCTGTTCATGAATGTCTGTAGTTTGTTGGAAATGCTTTACGCGACGCGCCAAGTTTCTGAACCATATAGGAGCACTGATTTGACGTTGGTGTTGAAAATCTGGATCTTGTTCATGCTTTATGCTGAGTACAGAAGATCTTCACACTGGTTTCAGGTTAATCAACGCCTGTCTTGCTTCTCCGATCCTGGCTGCTTTGACATTCTCATCTGTACCACCGACGCCTGTAGTTGAAACGGTGATGCCTAGATAGGTGGAAGAGGCTACTTCCTTGAGATATCTCCGGTTGGTGGAGATTGGAGCTTGTTGTCGTTATTGTTGGTGGTGTTGGTTGGGTATCTTCATCACCTCTGTCTTCTCTACATTCACTTGAAGTCCCGTCTTCGCTGCCTGCCCTGCCTCTTCTGTCAACTTGTTAGTTTTCGCCTGTAGATCTTCAAGTTCTTATGACATCAGACACAAGTCATCGACAAAATCCAAATCTTCTAGGATCTTCTCCCCGGTCCAGCGTATCCCCCTCTTCTCGCTCCTCACTGTTTGCTGCATAACCTAGTCTCTAGTCAACCACAATCATGAATATTATGCGTAATAGTAGACAGTCTTGTTTTACTCCTGTCTTCACTTCACTTCAAAGGCATCACTGAGCTTCCCATTGTGAATTACTTGGCGTGTGGCGTCTTCACATAGTTGTTGAGTAAGATTGATAAGGGTTTGTGTTATTCTGTAGTGTTGAAGTAGCTGCCTGCTAAATTACTCCTCGGTCGACGCTGTCAAACGCCTTTTCGAAGTCGATGAAGTTGAGGTATAGAGTTGACTGCCATTCTGTACTCTGTTCTATGATGATGATGATGATGCGTGGCGAAGTGTTGCTATTTGGTCTGCACATGATTTGTACTTCCTGAATCCAGCCAACCAGCCTGTTCGTGTCGTAATTTTGAATCCAGTGCATCCTTTAGTCTCTCCAGGATGATGTGGCTGAATATTTTGCTCGGAGTGGACAGGAGCATGATTCCGCACCAGTTCTTGCAAAGACTTAGGTTGCACTTGATTGGGAGTTTTACCAGGTGACCCTTCTTCCAATCAATAGGCAGGTGCCTACCCTTCCTTCCTTCCAGACCTTCTGCAATAGTGGTGTGAGCATGTTCACTGATGATGTCTCTGCGTCTGTATTCAGTACTTCTGGAGTCATGTTTAGACAAATTTCCGTGTTTCTTAAATAAGAAATCTCAACTTTTCTCATGGAAGTTTGGTCCAAGCTTTATCAGGGAAATAACAAAAATCTACAGTATCATAGATAAATATAACAGGCCATAAATTTCATACTTCATTTCATTGTTCAATAGCAGCAGATCTCCACGCAAAACGTTGAAATTTCTTATTTGAAACACACTGAGATTTGTTCGAGTATAATTTATATCTAATGTCAACTTTTCACTCGGTAGCCAATATTTGTGAAAGTATCGGGTCAGATCTTGACCAAGGTTTATATAAAATAGTTTTTTATTTGCAGTTGAAAACTGAATGCATAATCATTTCGATTTAAAAAGGCGTTGTTAAAGAATGTGGGTGAGGCTTACGCATTTCTCTAGCTGTAATAGTGTCCTATGTGAAAGTGGTTATTTTCTGTGTTCTGTTTGCACATTTTACTCAGTTATATAGCTCTTAAAATGCTGTCTATTATTAGACAATGTTTCATATAGCCTATTCATGTCCAAGGCACTGGTTGTTCTTCCGCTTCTTAGATAGAAAGTATTTACAGTTACTTATGCATCTAGGGTTTGATTAATAGAAACCACCAAGCCCGTATATTTATTTCTCCAAACCCTTACACCATGTCAACGACAGTGTCACCACCCATTGCATCTACCGATTCAAATGCACCTGTGGTGGAACAAATAAAGAGTGGACTCACAGATCCATGTGACTGAGGGCATCTAAGCCTATTACAAAGTGGCTTGAGAAGTAAGTTGAATCACCTGATCCCATAAATGTTGGTAGGAGACATGCAAGTTCTTTTTTCGCGAAACACATCGTTGAGATAGGTCACAGTATTGACACGTCTACTTCCTTTGGACCTATTCAAAAGACTTGTTGAGGATAGATCCTTAAATTGGCTGAGGCCCTAGCTATTAGGAAGTTTAAACCACCTTTGTGTGTTCAAAAGCAATTTGTTATCACATTTAATCTCCCTTGGTGAATTAAACTCTGAAACCAACTTCGATATAATGTTATTTTCTCCGCATTGATTTTCATTTTTACTTGAACATTAGTTTAGCCCTCCTACCTGACCTTCTTTTTGTATTTCCACCCCTTATGGATTCTCATACAAATACGTATGACAAGTACGTATGCGATCAGACTGTTTGAAATGTGCTGCACAAATAAATTATACGGTTCAGACAGTTTACGTCTTCTTAGTATTCTGTCGGAGAACGATATTTACAAGCTAGATTGAGTTAATTGGGGCTTCGAACTGCAACAAAGAAGATGATTGCAGTTTTCTTTTCAAACGTATACAAAACACTGACAATACTGAAAATGTTTGAATAATGAGAACATACTGTTATTTTATGTTAAAAGTAGTTTAAATATTAAACACGAATAAGCGAGAGAATGACGAATTTGGTTTTTAGGTTTATAGGGATTTGCTGATTTCAGGGTGTTCATCACGGACTGATACCAATCAGAGAAACACTGAAGTTAATTAAATACTACCTCACTAACATTCACTTTATTGATATTGATCATCATAGTCAATATTGATTGCTTACGTGAAATGAAATATTCTGGATTAACTGGTCTAATTCGAGATTGAACTGCCGGAAATATGGACAGCGAACAAAAAAATACACACCAAATATTCAAACAATGAACCCAACACTCTCTGATTGTTAAAGTATATTTTGACCAATAATCTAGACATCGCTCCTTACCAACAGGCTGTGTAAAATGAAAACGCAAATAGTCAGTAAATAAAATAATCATAGCATTATTATTATTACTATTATTATTATTATTATTAAATATACAGAAGTGGCAAACAACTTTCCTAATAGAAGTGTTAAATGAAGTTTATAAGCACATTTATAATAAATTTAAGTTAAAATGGAGAGTAGATACCCCTGACCGATATCACCCACTGATAACCTATCAATAGACTAACATGACTACAGGAGTTCATTTACAGAGTGATTTACATACTGGGCACTACTTTCGATGAGAAACGCTGAAATGACCCCTTGATCGACGGAGTTGAATATAATCTTGAGGTCGAGAGATACAGCTAGAATCAAGTGCTGACTAGCATTCATGTGTTCAAAGACTTTTCAACTCGTGATGATCTGGTCGATACACTCGATGCACTGGACTTAAACCCGTCAAATAACTACAGAATCTATAATCTTCGAAACTATACTAATTATGTTAATTCGTCTGCGTTAACTATGGGAGAACGTTTTTTGTTCCTCAAAGACTGGGACAATTAGTGATTCTCACTACTCAGTAGGAATCATGTCTGACTCCAACATACCGTCTGACTTACATTTTGCAGTACAGTAGCAGGATTATTACTCGCTGGTAAAAGACTGAACTATGCTAACCTCCTTCCCATTGCTTACTTTTCATTTTGTTCAACTCAGCTTGAAGATTATACTTTTTCCAAAAATATAGTCATGTTTTTCATTGATAAAGATGACTTTTCTTTAATAAGGCTTACTGCATTTCCCTTACTATAATTAGAAAATCAGTTTCATCCTTTCCAAGATCTTCTACCGCGACGATACTAGACAGATGATTATAAATTTGGTTTATTTTCGATTCCATGAGAGTCGAAATTTCATTTATCATTATAAGCATTAGGAAAATTGCTTTACATGTTATTGAAAACATCTCGTGAATCCATAAACAATCTACGTTTAGGGTTAAGGGTTCAGTTTGCGTCAGAGTAGAACTTCGATATTGGTAAATAAGATGAACTTAAATGATATGTTAGATAGTGACACAGTATTATTTACTGACTGGTTTTAAGTGAGGCATCATTCAATAAGCAATACTGTATCCGTTTGTGCTATATTGAATGAACTGAAGTAATACAGAAGGATTTAATTTCTGCTTAATGATAAGTCTCTTTATGCTTCATATTCTCAGTATGCTTTTAGACAATTGGCTGGATAACATCCAATTTTAATGAAAACGCTTTATTCTACTGCACAAGTGTTTGGAATTCTTAGTTTTGGAATAAAATCACATAGTGTTTGAATACTTCTTTCTGTTGAAAATTATTCATTTAACAGAGAAATGAAATGGTTTGATGTAGTATATATATGTTTTAGTAACATCATGATAGTAATGTAGGCGAATATTAAAAAATAGTCACCACACAAAATTATTTGCGTGATTATAAATATTGAAGCCGTGAGACGTGATAATGAAGTTTACCGGGATGATTATTGTTTTGACAAATAACTATCTACTCATGTGATATTCAGTACCTGGTGAAATATAAAAAAACAAATAAGTGAATGTCATTATAGTCATTTTTGAATCACATCACCAAAACAAATGATGTTGATGTTTTCAAAACCTTGAGTTTTATTCCTGAACTTTTCAGCACCAGGCTGCGTGTTTTTATGAGGTTTCACTTCATGAAATGTGCATACTCACAGTAGCAGTTTCTGAGTTATTGCATATTTTCTTCGGTTATCATTGTAATTACAGCCACTTACATTCGTGAGTAGTTCGTAGCTAAGTGACATTTATAAAACAAAACACGAAAAATAACAAAATGAATTTAGTAATTGGAACTCATAATCCATCCCTTATCACATTAAATGTTTATATCTCTATATGATTGAAAACTTCCTGAACATCTAGAAATAATAATTTGAGTGAAGAATAGCTGTATAAGCATTTGATTTTTAGAGTCCTACCAGAAATGGAAACCCTTCGAAATTTTTTCACCCTACATCAACTCACATAAAAACGAAGGATGAATAATATTATATCGAAAATCTATTAAATATAAAATTATCATCTACTTGAAAGTCTGGAACATCCATTATATGTACATATATATAACTGAAAATTCCTGAATAGATATTCTTCGAAAAGTATAAGCAACCTCCAACACATTAAATAAATCAATCATACTTCTCTGAGGTTGTATTGGTTTACTTCTTCATACAGAAGATTCGTTCATTTAAGTTTTTAATGTGAATTGTTGAAAATATTGTTCGAACTACTCACATTTCAGGTGTAGTGTACCGACACATCAGCATGGTTAAGCGACATTTAGTTTCGCATCACATTTACTGACTCATCAAGACAAGTTAGAGATTATTATATTTATTTAGATTGTTACTCCACTCATTCTATACACCTATAACTATATGATTTATAGGAAAATAATTTAAGGTAGATTTATTCATTGAACGAGTCACTGAAAGTTAAAATAAGTCCCAGGGTGATGTGATGAAAAAAATAGAACAGTAAACTGTATGGGGGTTACAAGTTTGGTGGAAAATCGTCGTTTCCATTCAGTGTTATTTATACTTTTTATACTTGTTTAAGTGAACTAAGATACTGTACGCATATTGTGACTTTGGTTTGATTGCACCCATGAATAACCTGTCGCAATTCTGTTTGTCAAAAAAGTCGTATTACGAAAAATGAATGCGGCGATTCTAGAGCCTATATGAAAGAAGAGTTCCAATATTTATCTCAGTATTGGTTTACTTTCTATTACTCCAAGCTAAGCATCTTTGACAAGATGATGTGAAAAAAGCAAGTGCAAATCGCAAATGCAGCATAGGTGACTAGAACTGTATACCCATTCAATAAAGGTGTGTTGGCTTACTCATTCATTCATTATTTACGAATTCATATTCTTTTACTCTACATATAAATATAACATACATAGTGTCCCTTTATCAGTACAGGAGTTAAAACGTGCAGTAGCGTTCATGAGATTATCAAACTAATTCGAAAGAAATAAAACTCAATATTCTTCATAAAACACTTATTTTTGAACAAAATTTACAATCTATTTAACACCATACTGTTTTGAAGAACAAGGGATTTCATGACCAAAACACAGGCAAAACATGTGTTAGAATATGTGAAATGAGTTCACAAAACACGCCAAATGCTAAAGTAAAAACAATCACAACAGATAGAGGAATGCATAACTTTTAACTGTCAACCGAAAGACTCTGAATGGGAAATAAATCCTTATCTCAAGATGACAGTATGTACTGTCCTTCGCTTCACCATAAACAAGCCAGTATGTTATTTTCAGTGACCGCAGAATCTTCACTGCCTACCAGTTCCCCAATTTCAACAATACCTGAATAATGGAAACCTGGGAGAAATGGGCAGATGTTTCGTCCTAACATAGCACGCATCAGCATTGCTCACTCATGACCTTACTCCGCCAGGGTCGAGCCCGGGGCCTTCAGGTCTCGCGGCCAGTGCGTTACCACGGAATCACGGGGTCAGAACCCGATGGTCCATATTCCCGAATTCTGTCACTTTACGATATAGGACGACCCCTGTCTAGTCCTGTAGTTGAGTAACTCTTTTCATGTTCGACTTATTGGCCACAGAACCTGAAGATACTGGGTTCCGTCCCTGCCGTGGTCAAGGGTGTGTACCTCTGAGAAGTCCCATTCTAGGAAGAAATAGCTGTCTAGTCCTTCCACGTTTATAGTGTTTCTCCAACTGATGTCTGTCCATGGAGAATACCAACCTGAAACCAATGATTAAATCTCCACAAACCTCGAAATTGAAAACTTAAATTAATGTTACCTTAAACGTAGAGGGTCTAGGATATAGATTTCATTCGATATTAGAATTCTATTGGTTGAATAACGAAGAATGTCATTGGTCTCTCAAGGTCATCTGCCTTTGTCTGTATATACTATCATTTGATTAAAACAATAGAGAGAAACTACTAGTGCAGAGAGAATATTTCGTTACAATGTAGTCATTTGTTAAGAAAATTTGGAAAAATTCGTGCTAACATTGCTTAACCACGGATTAGGTGAATCATCAAGTTAACTTTAGGAAGTTATTGAAACTAGGATTCAAATAAGCCCTGTTTCAATTTTCTTCATGATAATGTAGTCAAAGTACATTAAATATAATAAACTGTTGGTATCCTGTAAGTGGGTTAGCTTTGGTTCAACCAAAATTAAAACGAAACTAAGAGGAAATTTGAAGATAAGCATCGTAAATATACTCCGATAGTCTATTGGTATATTTTTCAACATCAGTTTAAGTGATCTAAGTAACCCAGACACAAGTCGTGTGATAAAAAGTAATGCTTAATGCATTGTCTCAAAATTCGCAACACAATAAGAAAACAAATAATATTTTGTCTAGAAAGACATGAGTGATTGCATTGAAAATAATGAGAAAATGCAATAACATGCATGGTATATTTAAATCAGCTGACGGTTGTAATAAAGTTCCTGACTAAATTTTCTCATTATGAACTTTCAGTAAATTTTTTTGTTCATCACTGATCATCCTGTACAATTACTTTTAAGTGATATTGATGAGCTGTTAAGAATACGAATAACTTTGGAATAAGTTGACCATCTGCTATAAACAGGTGGCTCAGTAGTACTATGCTTATGGTAAGGCATTCACTTCTGCATGTTCACTGTTGAATGTGACAATAAAAATGATACGTGCTGGCAAGAGCTTGTAAACCATAATGAAACCACAATAAAAAGTAGAACATTACCTGGAAGTGAAGTGTTATGAAACAGCATTTAAAAATAAGTACAACAAGGTCAATGGAAAGATAATGAAATCAAGGTGAGAAAGGATATGAGAAAAGGGAAATAATAAGTGTAGAGTGATAAAATATTCAAAATCCTGAAGAAGATACGGGATGCATGTATCTATTTCGACCCTCAGTCTTCACTCGCTAAGCATGAATTCTTAGCTTCTTCTGAAGATTTTATATGGAAGAGATCAACAGTTAATTACTTTATCGTTTATCTGTGATTTCATACAAGCATATACACATATTAACATAAAATAATTCACACAATTTCATAGTAGATAATACAATCTCCCAATCTGTAGCATTCCATTTACATCAGTTTCGTTGTTAAACTCTTATGCACTTATGACGACATCAAGCATGGAAATGAAGCGTTTGCCAAGTGAAACCCTAGGTCATAAAACAACTCACTCTGAATAATCATACCCTGAATTACGAATATTCGCCATAATTTCCCAAAAAATGAGCAAGTTCACCCAAGTATCTTCTTGAACATTAAAAGAAGCATACATTGCTTGAATGCATGCTATGCTAAAAAGCATCTAGGTGTTTTAAATTAAAATACCTTACCTAGAATAATACTGACTACCAGGCATATCCACCTGCATAGTACTCGACTTCGTTTACTCAAGAGCAAATTTAAAATGAAAGTAAACTAGAAATAAACATACTTCTATCTTTCACCCTCGGTGTAAAGGTAATGATACCTGATTTTTGGGTGACTTTAAAGGCCACTGTATCAGCTGTTAGAACAGCCAATCAGGTTTCGATATTTTGGCTAGGAAGTTAGATTTTCATAAAATTCAGACTCATAATTGGTTGCCTTAACAGTTGCTAGAGTGACTTCTAAAGCCACTTGTGGTTTTTACTTAGAAGAGAAAAACATCACTATGCTGAAATGATGGAGTGACTTTAAAGGCCACCCTAGCAATAACTGGAATAACCAACCAGACTTCTTTATTTCATGAAAATTTGCCTTTCCAGCCAATATAAAGAAACCTAACTGGTTATTCCAATCGTTGCTAGGGTGGCCTTCAAAGGGGTAACTTTAAAGGCCACCCTAGTAACTGATGAGACAGCGAATTATACTCCACTATTTTATGGAAAAGTACTTTTCCAGGAGAGATATCAAAGCTTGATTGGTCATTTCAGTTGTTGCTAGAGTGGCCTTAAAGTCACTCCTTCAAAGTCGCCCAAATGATGCGATAGTTTGGTGAACAGTTGGGACCAATAATTGAACTCGTGAATTGTACCGTATTTTTCGAACTTATGACCATTGTTGTTAAGTCTAAATCAGAAAACCAAGCGATTGTAATGCTGACGAATCCACCTGAAGAGTCTCAAATCTCATAATACTGTCCATCAAACGCAGTTATTCGTCTATAACCTAACTTTGTGTACCTATCGTTCTCACAAGTTTCTTCATTTAGCATTCATACTTTTCTTCGGTTTAATTTTCTTAGTATTCTCCCTATGTTAGGTAACATATTCAATACTGATGCACCTTTATTTTATACTGCTTAACCGTGAATAAAATTGTCAAACCTTTACCTATCAAGTTACAACAGTACCGTTGACTCAAGGTAATGGAAATAATAATAAGTGAATTTCGTCAGTTAGGTCATAGAATACTGTCACATATGTTCAACCATATTCAGCATTCAAAAATTTTCAGTCGACAATCTGTAACTGGGTAAATATATGATCAGTGCCTTTTAAAGAAACACTAGGGAGCCATAATTTGGTCTGTTGTTCATAAAAGAAATATTTTTGTGCGGTTTTCAAATTATTTAGCATTCCAGTAATTTTATGTATAGTGTACAAAAGAAACTTACCGGTTTAAAACAACACAAACCAAAACAATTTCGAAAGATATACCAATTATTTTCCTGGGCGTAACTATACTTCTTCAACCCTGTCACTTTCAGATGTTGTTGCTGCTGTTTTAGTTTACTTGAGTCATTTGTTTGGTTAGTTGACAGTTTATTGTTAACGTAAATTGTGTTTTCGGATGTTGGTGATACTGAAGCTGTTGCTGTTGTAACTAGTTGTGTACCAATTGTCGGCGATTCCCAATCATTTTCTTCATAATCAGTTTTACTAATCTGTGGACTATAATGATCCATAATTTGATGATTCCCATTCCAACCAGTTGATATTAACAAACCGTCTTGTGCTGGCTTTTCAATGATACCATTGACATTATTATTAAATGAAGTATTAAGAACATTTTGCGAAGAGCTTCTTGATTCATTTGTATCACTTACGCATTTATGAAATCTAGAATAATAGCGAACGAATTTCTAATGATTTTAAACAAAGAAAACAATGGTAGAAATGTAAATGAACAGGTGAAATAAGAAACATCTGTGGTGAAACAAAAGATAATAACTTCCTCGACATTGAAATGCAAATAAAAGTTCACCATAAGGGGTTGTTTACATCCAGAATTGAGGTCATTACATAACAAGTGTCTCACTGCACTTTACAGTTTCACCTTTATTAAAATATTAGTTTGAAAGTATGACAGGTGGAAAATAATTGAGATATAAATTGTGATCAGTATTATTTGTAACAGATATTTTCAAAGATGAAATAGAATGAATCGAAGAAAGAAAAGACTAGTGGGTTTACCATCCAAACAGATAGTTGAGTAATTCGATTTCAGAACAGATGATTAGAATATTAAGACAAAGTATCCTGCTGGTCAACCTCGCCTGATTAACTAGTTCACTAGGTACTAGCCGGTCCTAAGACCAGGTAAAGACGGAAGCTTGGGCATAGGGCTACCAACCCCACCTCCGAAAACCAATCCAATCGATAAAGAAACTTCAAAGCACAAACAAAATATAAAAAATAAAAACAAAATTACTCCTCGCTGGAATCGGAGAGGCGAAATGACGCCAGTTGGTGAAAGCCTTCAGGAAGCCAATTGGCCGATGTATCTGTACCTCACTCGATGAAAGCGAAAGTAAACGTGGGGACATGGAATGTCCGCATCATATATGAACCCAGCAAGGTTGCCCAGACTGCAAAAGAGATGAGAAGGTAAGGCATGGAAGTGCTAGGATAGGGATCTTCGAAAGCAGGTGGAAATGAAGTGGACTCTCCAAACTGTCAACAAGAGAGTCATTAATCTACTCCGATATTGTCACACAGACGACAACCACAAGCACACTGAGTTTTCGAGTGGCTATCATGATGTCCCCAAGAGCATCGAAGGTTTTCTCTCATGCAGTGGCAACCAATCTCCTCCAGGATCATAACAGCAAGATTCAACTCAAAAGGAAAGAAAAGTCACAATCATTCAATGCCATGCACAACGATATTCACAAAGCGACATGGATTTCACCACTCACCAGATGGACAGACTACACAAAAATCAGATTGACTTCATCTCAATATGAAGAAAGTGGAGATGCAGCCTACTTGACACAAGGTCAAGAAGAGGAGCAGATGTAGGTTCACACCACTCACTGTCTAGTGCAAGGAATCTACCTTCCAAATCAAGTTGAAAGCCTTCAAGGAAGTTGGTGATAGACCACAGTTCAGGTTCAACACCCAGAACAGGAACTGAACTGAGGAATGAAACTACAAAAGACATCTTCACGTCAGCCAGTCATCAGGACAAAATGGGAGACATTGAGCAACATCCCTGAAGGAACCTGTCTGGATGAACACTGGAATTCTTTGAAAACTATGTGGAAGGAAACCTGCATAACCGTATTACGAAGGAAGAAGAAAGAAGACAGGACCAGGAATGAATCTCGACGGACACATGGAAGTTGATAGAGGATGGAGAGAAAGATAGTGATGATGAAGCAGAAGATAAACCAGTGCAATGATGCACAAAGACAAGAGGAACTGAGTACAACGTATAAAACACTACACTGGACAGAGAAGTGAAGAAGAGTGCACGGAAAGACAAAAGACACTTCCACGACACACTGGCAAGTGAAACAGAACAGGCTGCAGGTAGAAGAGACAGAGACTTGACAACATTATATCAAATAACCAGGTTACTGTTATCTGGGAGTGAATAGATCAACACAGACGAAACCAATAAAAGATAATGAAGGAAACTTAATAACCGAATATGAGAAACATAGGGAAAAATGAACTGACCACTTCGAAAAACTCTTTAACTGACCACCTCCTTCAACCTGTCTAGAAATACCGCCTTCGGCCGCAGAATTATAAGCAAACACAAATCCTCCAACAAAAGTCGAAGTGAAGTCCTGAACGCCATAAATCGACCGAAATGCGGGGAATCAGCAGGACCAGATGGAGTTCATCCAGAAGCACTGAATACAGACGCAGAGACATCATCAGTGAACATGCTCACACCACTATTGCAGAAGGTCTGAAAGGAAGGAAGGGTAGGCACCTGCCTATTGATTGGAAGAAGGGTCACCTTGTAAAACTCCCAATCAAGTGCAACCTAAGTCTTTGCAAGAACTGGTGCGGAATCATGCTCCTGTCCACTCCGAGCAAAATATTCAGCCACATCATCCTGGAGAGACTAAAGGATGCACTGGATTCAAAATTACGACACGAACAGGCTGGTTGGCTGGATTCAGGAAGTACAAATCATGTGCAGACCAAATAGCAACACTTCGCCACGCATCATCATCATCATCATAGAACAGAGTACAGAATGGCAGTCAACTCTATACCTCAACTTCATCGACTTCGAAAAGGCGTTTGACAGCGTCGACCGAGGAGTAATTTAGCAGGCAGCTACTTCAACACTACAGAATAGCACAAACCCTTATCAATCTTACTCAACAACTATGTGAAGACGCCACACGCCAAGTAATTCACAATGGGAAGCTCAGTGATGCCTTTGAAGTGAAGTGAAGACATGAGTAAAACAAGACTGTCTACTATTACGCATAATATTCATGATTGTGGTTGACTAGAGACTAGGTTATGCAGCAAACAGTGAGGAGCGAGAAGAGGGGGATACGCTGGACCGGGGAGAAGATCCTAGAAGATTTGGATTTTGTCGATGACTTGTGTCTGATGTCATAAGAACTTGAAGATCTACAGGCGAAAACTAACAAGTTGACAGAAGAGGCAGGGCAGGCAGCGAAGACGGGACTTCAAGTGAATGTAGAGAAGACAGAGGTGATGAAGATACCCAACCAACACCACCAACAATAACGACAACAAGCTCCAATCTCCACCAACCGGAGATATCTCAAGGAAGTAGCCTCTTCCACCTATCTAGGCATCACCGTTTCAACTACAGGCGTCGGTGGTACGGATGAGGATGTCAAAGCAGCCAGGATCGGAGAAGCAAGACAGGCGTTGATTAACCTGAAACCAGTGTGAAGATCTTCTGTACTCAGCATAAAGCATGAACAAGATCCAGATTTTCAACACCAACGTCAAATCAGTGCTCCTATATGGTTCAGAAACTTGGCGCGTCGCGTAAAGCATTTCCAACAAACTACAGACATTCATGAACAGCTACCTACGCTGGCTCGTCACTGAAGCTCACATGGAGTGCCAGAAAGAATAAGCAACAAGGAACTCTGGCCTGGTAACGAACCAACCCAGAACCCATCGCTGAGCAAATATGCAATGGAAGGAAGTGGTGATGGGTTGGGCATACACTGAGAAGGCTGACTGGGGACATCACATGCCAGGCGAGGCACTCGAATGGAACCCCTAAGGGAAGCGACGAGTTTGGCGTCTGAGGTGAGGGTGACATGGAGGAGAAAGTGTGAGGAAGGAAAAAGAGCTTGTGGCAGTGGTTAAGCCAGGTCCAAAAGATTTTAGAGAACAGAGCGCACTGGAGACGTGCTAGTGAAGCTCTCTGTTCCACTAGGAAACCAAGGGACTAATAATATGAATAATAATCCTGCTTGTCATTTCTCATCAAACCTTCATTAGTTTAACATCTAACTAATGATAAACACAGCATTAACTTCAGTCTAATAAGTATCAGTAGTACAGCGGTTTTGCGTTCAGGTTACTGTGAAGCATAAAATATCAGCAAGTCATTCATGGTAAAAGATTATCCCTATATTTAGGACAGACAGCTACCTGTGGAAATTCATAATATAAACCAATTTTGAAAATATTAGGTTTGTCGATATTCTAGTAATGATTTGCCTTTTTATAAGCAAAGGTACTAACGGGACATTCATATTGTTCTGACTCCTAAGATACACTAATATGATGGTACTTGACTCGAACTGAATTCTGCACATAACAGTTAATGATTGATTTCCACTATGATAGACAAGTAGGCTGAATATGTGATAACATTGCGCTAACTTCTGCAACAACGCTAGCGATTTAACTACTTCTTATGATATGAATACCATCTCAGTGGCTGACTGGTCAACATATTATATGTGTAAAATGATGATTTACCGTAAAAGGACTCCACCAAATTAGTTTGGCAAACCAATTAATCAGGTTCCATGATATGTTTAAAGTGTGTTTCAGACAGTCTAAGTGTAAACGGCTAACAGTTAGCTGGACTTTTAGGTTTGTTAAAGGGAACTAAAAAGGTCAGTTTCATGTTATCGAAAATCGGATAGAAGTTACACATCTTAATTTCCTGCCAGTTGGCACTCATTAGTAGGGAGAATCTATATCCTTAGTGTATTGGTTGCTCTATCGGAGACTGATACTCAAACCACTTAGTTCAGGATTGAGAGATATTTAGACTGATCTATTCAGATCGTGGTTAATTCGCTTTAGGATTGTATTAATTGTATTGATAAGTTACCAGCTAGTAAATATTGCTATGTTTTCTGGTTGTAAATTCTAACTGGACTTTATCGGTTAGAGTTGCAATGTAGCCGCCAAGGTAAGCGATCCAATAATCAATGGTCGTGAACGATAGTCTGACTAGTATTCACAAAAAAATTACTAATTTACAACCAACTTTGACAACAAGTGTGTCAAAGTCACTGAATACTTTGGAATAAAAAAATAATGAAGTAAGACAGACCAGTCAATATAAACATGGGATCTCACATTCCATATCAGATTAACTAACCTATATGATATAGCACAAAGTGATATGGTATTATTTACTAGATAACATACAAGGATCTTGCATTATCAACTTTAGTATGAGTTATGATGTCAAACACCACTGTACTGGGATAGAAGACGGAAAAGTGAGAAAAAGCACTAAGATTACAAAAGTCCGAAAAGCCATGGAAAGAAAAGTAGGAGCGGTAACTCAAATGACCAAATATGACATAACGTTTGCGACAAATATAGGGGATACATACATTTGCACTACTGCGATCACTTCTCAGGCATGACATCTAGA